CCCTAACCTTAACCCTACCCTTAGCCCTAACCTTAGCCCTAACCTTAACCCTAACCTTAGCCCTAACCTTAGCCCTATCCTTAGCCCTAACCTTAACCCTAACCTTAACCCTAACCTTAGCCCTGACCTTAGCCCTACCCTTAGCCCTACCCTTAGCCCTACCCTTAGCCCTAACCTTAACCCTATCCTTAGCCCTAACCTTAGCCCTATCCTTAGCCCTAACCTTAGCCCTATCCTTAGCCCTAACCTTAGCCCTAACCTTAGCCCTATCCTTAGCCCTATCCTTAGCCCTATCCTTAGCCCTAACCTTAGCCCTATCCTTAGCCCTATCCTTAGCCCTAACCTTAGCCCTAACCTTAGCCCTAACCTTAACCCTAACCTTATCCCTACCCTTAGCCCTACCCTTAGCCCTACCCTTAGCCCTAACCTTAACCCTAACCTTAGCCCTACCCTTAGCCCTACCCTTAGCCCTAACCTTAACCTTAGCCCTACCCTTAGCCCTACCCTTAGCCCTAACCCTAACCTTAGCCCTAACCTTAGCCCTAAACTTAGCCCTAACCTTAACCCTAACCTTAGCCCTACCCTTAGCCCTACCCTTAGACCTAACCTTAACCCTAACCTTAACCCTAACCTTAGCCCTAACCTTAGCCCTAACCTTAGCCCTAACCTTAGCCCTAACCTTAGCCCTAACCTTAACCCTAACCTTAGCCCTACCCTTAGCCCTAACCTTAGCCCTAACCTTAACCCTAACCTTAGCCCTAACCTTAACCCTAACCTTAGCCCTAACCTTAGCCCTAACCTTAGCCCTAACCTTAACCCTAACCTTAGCCCTAACCTTAGCCCTAACCTTAGCCCTACCCTTAGCCCTAACCTTAGCCCTAACCTTAACCCTAACCTTAGCCCTAACCTTAACCCTAACCTTAGCCCCTAACCTTAACCCTAACCTTAGCCCTAACCTTAGCCCTAACCTTAGCCCTAACCTTAGCCCTACCCTTAGCCCTAACCTTAGCCCTAACCTTAACCCTAACCTTAGCCCTAACCTTAGCCCTAACCTTAGCCCTACCCTTAGCCCTACCCTTAGCCCTAACCTTAACCCTAACCTTAACCCTAACCTTAGCCCTAACCTTAGCCCTAACCTTAGCCCTACCCTTAGCCCTACCCTTAGCCCTAACCTTAACCCTAACCTTAACCCTAACCTTAGCCCTAACCTTAGCCCTAACCTTAGCCCTACCCTTAGCCCTAACCTTAGCCCTAACCTTAACCCTAACCTTAGCCCTAACCTTAGCCCTAACCTTAGCCCTACCCTTAGCCCTACCTTAGCCCTAACCTTAGCCCTACCTACCCTTAGCCCTAACCTTAACCCTAACCTTAACCCTAACCTTAGCCCTAACCTTAGCCCTAACCTTAGCCCTACCCTTAGCCCTAACCTTAGCCCTAACCTTAGCCCTAACCTTAGCCCTAACCTTAGCCCTAACCTTAGCCCTAACCTTAACCCTAACCTTAGCCCTAACCTTAGCCCTAACCTTAGCCCTACCCTTAGCCCTAACCTTAGCCCTAACCTTAACCCTAACCTTAGCCCTAACCTTAACCCTAACCTTAGCCCTAACCTTAACCCTAACCTTAGCCCTAACCTTAGCCCTAACCTTAGCCCTAACCTTAGCCCTACCCTTAGCCCTAACCTTAGCCCTAACCTTAACCCTAACCTTAGCCCTAACCTTAACCCTACCCTTAGCCCTAACCTTAGCCCTAACCTTAACCCTAACCTTAGCCCTAACCTTAACCCTAACCTTAGCCCTAACCTTAACCCTAACCTTAGCCCTAACCTTAGCCCTAACCTTAACACTAACCTTAGCCCTAACCTTAACCCTAACCTTAACCCTAACCTTAACCCTAACCTTAACCCTAACCTTAACCCTAACCTTAACCCTAACCTTAACCCTAACCTTAACCCTAACTTAACCCTAACCTTAACCCTAACCTTAACCCTAACCTTAACCCTAACCTTAGCCCTAACCTTAACCCTAACCTTAACCCTAACCTTAGCCCTAACCTTAGCCCTACCCTTAGCCCTAACCTTAGCCCTAACCTTAACCCTAACCTTAGCCCTAACCTTAGCCCTAACCTTAACCCTAACCTTAGCCCTAACCTTAGCCCTAACCTTAGCCCTAACCTTAGCCCTACCCTTAGCCCTAACCTTAGCCCTAACCTTAACCCTAACCTTAGCCCTAACCTTAACCCTACCCTTAGCCCTAACCTTAGCCCTAACCTTAACCCTAACCTTAGCCCTAACCTTAACCCTAACCTTAGCCCTAACCTTAACCCTAACCTTAGCCCTAACCTTAACCCTAACCTTAGCCCTAACCTTAGCCCTAACCTTAGCCCTAACCTTAGCCCTACCCTTAGCCCTAACCTTAGCCCTAACCTTAGCCCTGACCTTAGCCCTAACCTTAGCCCTGACCTTAGCCCTAACCTTAGCCCTAACCTTAGCCCTAACCTTAGCCCTAACCTTAACCCTAACCTTAGCCCTAACCTTAGCCCTAACCTTAGCCCTGACCTTAGCCCTAACCTTAGCCCTGACCTTAGCCCTAACCTTAGCCCTGACCTTAGCCCTAACCTTAGCCCTGACCTTAGCCCTGACCTTAGCCCTAACCTTAGCCCTAACCTTAACCCTATCCTTAGCCCTAACCTTAGCCCTGACCTTAGCCCTAACCTTAGCCCTAACCTTAGCCCTAACCTTAGCCCTAACCTTAGCCCTAACCTTAACCACTCGGAATTAATGCCTAAACTGTTCATCTTTGAGTTGGTTCTTTTTTTACCCTGTAACCACGTCAAAAATAGAAGATAGTTTCAAATACATGCAACTTAAAAGTTATATATCACGAAATTTCGATTTGAAATCTTTTGGACATCAGAGCAACTTTGAGGGAATCTTATTTGAGTCAGAAAATGATGTTCATATGATAGGAAAGATAAACCAAACCTTGAAGAGAGCAGAGAGCCGAGAGCCGAGAGCCGAGAGCCGAGAGCCGAGAGCAGAGAGCAGAGAGCAGAGAGCAGAGAGCAGAGAGCAGAGAGCCGAGAGCCGAGAGCCGAGAGCCGAGAGCCGAACCAACTGACAACCTCTTAGAAGAAAATATAAACTACTGGGAACCAAGAATTATAAAGAACTGATGTTGGCACAAGATGGAGGGAATGATGGAGCATAACTAACGAAATTACAGTTAACGAAAATGTACACTTAATCCAGTATAAACTAATGTATAGAATTTATTACACAAGAGACAAAATTCACAAATTCTACAGCACGTCAACAATAGACGTTCATCCATCAGGCAAAGGACAGTGGGCCAGATTCAAACCCATGCCGATGTAACAGTATTGCTTCCGTCCCTCTCCTCGCCCCTACCTGGGCTCGAACCAGGGACCCTCTGCACACATCCACAACAGTCACCCTCGAAGCACCGTTACCCGTCGCTCCACAAAAAAGCCGCGGCCCTCGCAGAGCAAAGGGAAACATCTACTTCAAGGTCTCAGAGCGAGTGACGTCACCGATTGAAATGCTACAGGCGCGCACCGCTAACTAGCTAGCCATTTCACACCGGTTACACCGACTCTGGCATATGGTGTGCTGGGGTCAGTGGCTGTAACCGCAAAACAACATAGGTACTGAGATAACCAAAGTAATTTATTCTACATGTTGCTTGCCTTCAACATATAATAAAACAATTGATTTAAAAAAATATATATATATATCTTCCCTAACAGAAAATACATCTACCCCCTACAAATATGTCCATGTATTATAACCCACATTAGAATTCACACTAGACATGCTGTAGCCTGCAGAAGGTACAATGTAAGGATGGTACTGCATTGTATACAAACATCGCATCCAGCTTCCCCCTGGCAGCAATTCGAAATATTTATTCAGATATTCAAATCCTCCTTTTGCAGAATTATTTTCCTCCCGTGGGGGAAAGGGATCAAATTAAAATCCAACATCTGTGGTGGGTGGGATAAGGATGAACTCTTCCTCCATTGGTAGGCCTAATGATGACAGAGGGGTTCATAAAGAATGACCTCTGACCCTCCGAATGAAGGGCAAGCAGAGAAGAGCCGGGATCTGGAACAACAACCTTTTAACCCTGCTCTGGTGACCAACTGGACCTGGTAGAGCTTGAACTCTTGACCTCCTTTAAGGCACCCAGAATGCAATGTTTATCACCCATAATGCAACATGTACCATAGAAATGGAAACTACTGGTTTGTGGGTATTGTGTATACAGATGGTGGACTGGGAACTGGGTTTTGATGACTGATACAGTCGTATAGTTATCCTAGCAGTGTACAACAACACCATACACTAGCTCTGGTGGGAGGACAACTGTACGATGACTGTTAGCTCACATTTTACATTTTAGTCATTTAGCAGACGCTCTTATCCAGAGCGACTTACAGGAGCAATTAGGGTTAAGTGCCTTGCTTAAGGGCACAGCGACAGATTTTTCACCTAGTCGGCTCGGGGATTAGAACCAGCGACCTTTCGGTTACTGGCACAACGCTCTTACCCACTAAGCTACCTGCCGCCCAAAGGTATGGCTATAGTATACACGTATAGCTTTCCCTCATCCCAGATTGACTATAATCAGAGGAACGATGAACGGCATTTGTCGATGTTGCAATACTATGTTAAATAGCGGACGCTAACACGTGGATGTGATGTGAATGAAGACTGGCCCTCATGGAGACCCAGATGTTGCTCCATCTCTCTCTTCCACTGTGTCAGTGGATTTACTCTATTTAGGTCCCAAATGGCACCCTATTCCCTATATAGTACCTACTTTTGAGCAGGGCCCGGTGCACTATATAGGGAATAGGGTGCCATTTGGGACACATCATCTGTTATTTTCCTTTTAACACTTGTTGCTGCCAGTCCTTAATGCCCGCTGGCCCTCGTGGCTGGGCTAAAAGCAGAAAGAAGCTTTGTGTGCCAGCTCAGGAGTGTTCTACTCCCTGAGGGAGTGGGGAGGACGAGGGGACGAGGGGGAGTGAGTAGGGGGGTAGGGGAGGAGGAGAGGGAGGGAGAGGAGAGGGGGAGGGCGGAGAGTGGGGAGGAGAGAGGAGAGAGGAGAGGGGGAGGAGAGGAGAGTGGGGGAGGAGAGAGGAGAGGAGAGTGGGGGAGGAGAGAGGAGAGGGGGAGGAGAGGAGAGTGGGGGAGGAGAGAGGAGAAGAGAGAGGGGGAGGAGAGGAGAGTGGGGGGGAGTCTCGAGCTGCGGGTGGGAGATAGAGAAGAGGTACGCTCTGTTCATTCTCTCTGCTGCTGGCTCAGAGATTAACTGGGATAGAGAGGGATTACAGTCTAACTTCCCCAGGAACGCTTTGTAGTGAAATCACAGACATGTTGTCACCGGGGCTGTGTACTGTGTTAGCTGCCTTACACTGAAGAGACCTGTTTCACGAGGTCAGGGGTGAAGGATCAAGGAAGTATCTGAGAAGGTAAGGTTTGATTTTTTACTTTTGTAAACATTGATTGTTGAGATTGTTGTCAGTGATGGCTTGCCTGCATCAGAGAGAGTCAACTATTTGGATAAGCTTAGCTATAACAATCAGCCATACCACTAACAATCAGCCATACCACTAACAATCAGCCATATCATTAACAATCAGCCATACCACTAACAATCAGCCATACCACTAACAATCAGCCATACCACTAACAATCAGCCATACCACTAACAATCAGCCATATCACTAAAAATCAGCCATATCACTAAAAATCAGCCATACCACTAACAATCAGCCATACCACTAACAATCAGCCATACCACTAACAATCAGCCATACCACTAACAATCAGCCATACCACTAACAATCAGCCATACCACTAACAATCAGCCATACCACTAACAATCAGCTATACCACTAACAATCAGCTATACCACTAACAATCAGCCATACCACTAACAATCAGCCATACACACTAACAATCAGCCATACCACTAACAATCAGCCATACCACTAACAATCAGCCATACCACTAACAATCAGCTATACCACTAACAATCAGCCATACCACTAACAATCAGCCATACACACTAACAATCAGCCATACCACTAACAATCAGCCATACCACTAACAATCAGCCATACCACTAACAATCAGCCATACCACTAACAATCAGCTATACCACTAACAATCAGCCATACCACTAACAATCAGCCATACACACTAACAATCAGCCATACCACTAACAATCAGCCATATCACTAACAATCAGCCATACCACTAACAATCAGCCATATCACTAACAATCAGCCATATCACTAACAATCAGCCATACCATAAACAATCAGCCATACCACTAACAATCAGCCATACCATAAACAATCAGCCATACCACTAACAATCAGCCATACCACTAACAATCAGCCATACCACTAACAATCAGCTATACCATAAACAATCAGCCATACCACTAACAATCAGCCATACCATAAACAATCAGCCATACCACTAACAATCAGCCATATCACTAACAATCAGCCATACCACTAACAATCAGCCATACCACTAACAATCAGCCATACCACCAACAATCAGCCATACCACTAACAATCAGAGGGGGAGGAGAGGGGAGAGAGGAAAGAGGGGGGAGATAGAGAAGAGGTAGCTCTGTTCATTCTCTCTGCTGCTGGCTCAGAGATTAACTGGGATAGAGAGGGATTACAGTCTAACTTCCCCAGGAACGCTTTGTAGTGAAATCACAGACATGTTGTCACCGGGGCTGTGTACTGTGTTAGCTGCCTTACACTGAAGAGACCTGTTTCACGAGGTCAGGGGTGAAGGATCAAGGAAGTATCTGAGAAGGTAAGGTCTCATTTTTTACTTTTGTAAACATTGATTGTTGAGGTTGTTGTCAGTGATGGCTTGCCTGCATCAGAGAGAGTCAACTATTTGGATACATTTAGATATAACAATCAGCCATACCACTAACAATCAGCCATACCACTAACAATCAGCCATAGCACTAACAATCAGCCATACCACTGATAACATGTACAATCCACTCTAGTCATTTTGATCCACTCTAGTCTTCCTCTGTGGATATTAAGTTGTAGTGTTGCTTTGTACTCAAAACAATAGCTATTCGTTTGAAGAAAGCACAGTACCATCTACCATCTGGCCTCGTCCAAGGACTTTAATCACAGTATGATAAATCACTCATTATATAAGATAACTATCTGAGGTTTGTGTTAGCATTTAATCCCTGACTTCATCCATATGTTTACTTTTAGAACAGATCACCAATGTCAATGGGGAAGTTAACCCTAACCCTGGATGCTCCTAACCCTAACCCTGGCTGCTCCTAACCCTAACCCTGGATGCTCCTAACCCTAACCCTGGATGCTCCTAACTCTAACCCTGGATGCTCCTAACCCTAACCCTGGATGCTCCTAACCCTGGATGCTCCTAACCCTAACCCTGGATGCTCCTAACCCTGGATGCTCCTAACCCTAACCCTGGATGCTCCTAACCCTGGATGCTCCTAACCCTAACCCTGGACGCTCCTAACCCTAACCCTGGATAACCCTAACCCTGGATGCTCCTAACCCTAACCCTGGCTGCTCCTAACTCTAACCCTGGATGCTCCTAACCCTAACCCTGGATGCTCCTAACCCTAACCCTGGATAACCCTAACCCTGGATGCTCCTAACCCTAACCCTGGCTGCTCCTAACTCTAACCCTGGCTGCTCCTAACCCTAACCCTGGATGCTCCTAACCCTAACCCTGGATAACCCTAACCCTGGATGCTCCTAACCCTAACCCTGGATGCTCCTAACCCTAACCCTGGATGCTCCTAACCCTGGATGCTCCTAACCCTAACCCTGGATGCTCCTAACGCTAACCCTGGCTGCTCCTAACGCTAACCTTGGATGCTCCTAACTCTAATCCTGGATGCTCCTAACCCTGGCTGCTCCTAACCCTAACCCTGGCTGCTCCTAACCCTAATCCTGGATGCTCCCAACTCTAATCCTGGATGCTCCTAACCCTAACCCTGGCTGCTCCTAACCCTAACCCTGGCTGCTCCTAACCCTAATCCTGGATGCTCCTAACTCTAATCCTGGCTGCTCCTAACCCTGGCTGCTCCTAACCCTAACCCTGGCTGCTCCTAACCCTAATCCTGGATGCTCCTAACTCTAACCCTGGATGCTCCTAACTCTAACCCTGGATGCTCCTAGTTCTAGGGTTTCTTTTTCAATCTTCCATGGCTTTGTGTTTGGGGAGGGTGGGGGTTCAACCGGATGTGTGATGATTAGTAAGGGTGAAGATAAAAGGTTACGTTGAACATTCTGAGTATTAGTAAGCTTTAGCTACATCCTCTATTTTTGCACACTGACAGTTGACTAGATCAAAGCGTTTGCACGGTGTTCATATTGTTTAGTACATATCCAGTGGAGTCATCTTAATACACAGCATTTTTTATCAATTTTATTACATTTTAAGCTAGTAATCAATTTAAGTTATTTTTTAAGCTGCACTATACATTGTAACATATTTTAGTGTATGGTGTAATGGATTTTAATGTGGTCAGTTCATCCGTCTAGTCCTCAGTTTGTGATTCATCTGCCGGTGTCCTTCTAGTTGAACCAGATTAGTGTCTGTCTATGGACCCTAGCAGTGGTCTGTCTATGACCCAGCCAGTGTGTCTCTCCTATGACCCAGCCAGGTGTCTGTCTATGAACCCAGCCAGTGTCTTCTAGTGACCCAGCCAGGTGTCTGTCTAGTGACCCAGCCAGGTGTCTGTCTAGTGACCCAGCCAGGTGTCTGTCTAGTGACCCAGCCAGGTGTCTCTCTAGTGACCCAGCCAGGTGTCTGTCTAGTGACCCAGCCAGTGTCTGTCTAGTGACCCAGCCAGGTGTCTGTCTAGTGACCCAGCCAGGTGTCTGTCTAGTGACCCAGCCAAGTGTCTTCTAGTGACCCAGCCAGGTGTCTGTCTAGTGACCCAGCCAGGTGTCTGTCTAGTGACCCAGCCATGGGTCTGTCTAGTGACCCAGCCAGGTGTCTCTCTAGTGACCCAGCCAGTGGTCTTCTAGTGACCCAGCCAGGTGTCTGTCTAGTGACCCAGCCAGGTGTCTGTCTAGTGACCCAGCCAGGTGTCTCTCTAGTGACCCAGCCAGGTGTCTGTCTAGTGACCCAGCCAGGTGTATCTCTAGTGGACCCAGCCAGGTGCTCTGTCTAGTGACCCAGCCAGGTGTCTCCTAGTGACCCAGCCAGGTGTCTCTCTAGTGACCCCAGCCAGGTGTCTGTCTAGTGACCCAGCCAGGTGTCTCTCTAGTGACCCAGCCAGGTGTCTCTCTAGTGACCCAGCCAGGTGTCTCTAGTGACCCAGCCAGGTGTCTCTTAGTGACCCAGCCAGGTGTCTGTCTAGTGACCCACCAGGTGTCTCGCTAGTGACCCAGCCAGGTGTCTCTCTAGTGACCCAGCCAGGTGTCTCTCTAGTGACCCAGCCAGGTGTCTCTCTAGTGACCCAGCCAGGTGTCTCTCTAGTGACCCAGCCAGGTGTCTCTCTAGTGACCCAGCCAGGTGTCTGTCTAGTGACCCAGCCAGGTGTCTCTATAGTGACCCAGCCAGGTGTCTCTATAGTGACCCAGCCAGGTGTCTGTCTAGTGACCCAGCCAGGTGTCTCTCTAGTGACCCAGCCAGGTGTCTCTTAGTGACCCAGCCAGGTGTCTCTCTAGTGACCCAGCCAGGTGTCTCGTCTAGTGACCCAGCCAGGTGTCTGTCTAGTGACCCAGCCAGGTGTCTCTTAGTGACCCAGCCAGGTGTCTCTCTAGTGACCCAGCCAGGTGTCTCTCTAGTGACCCAGCCAGGTGTCTCTCTAGTGACCCAGCCAGGTGTCTGTCTAGTGACCCAGCCAGGTGTCTCTTAGTGACCCAGCCAGGTGTCTGTATAGTGACCCAGCCAGGTGTCTCTCTAGTGACCCAGCCAGGTGTCTGTCTAGTGACCCAGCCAGGTGTCTGTCTAGTGACCCAGCCAGGTGTCTGTCTAGTGACCCAGCCAGGTGTCTCTCTAGTGACCCAGCCAGGTGTCTCTCTAGTGACCCAGCCAGGTGTCTGTCTAGTGACCCAGCCAGGTGGTCTCTCTAGTGGACCCCAGCAGGTGTCTGTCTAGTGACCCAGCCAGGTGTCTGTCTAGTGACCCAGCCAGGGTCTCTCTAGTGACCCAGCCAGGTGTCTGTCTATTGACCCAGCCAGGTGTCTGTCTAGTGACCCAGCCAGGTGTCTGTCTAGTGACCCAGCCAGGTGTCTGTTAGTGACCCAGCCAGGTGTTGTCTAGTGACCCAGCCAGGTGTCTGCTAGTGACCCAGCCAGGGTCTGTCTAGTGACCTAGGCCAGGTGTCCTCTAGTTGAACCAGCCAGGTGTCTGTCTAGTGACCCAGCCAGGGGTGTCTCTCTAGTTTACCCAGCCAGGTGTCTGTCTAGTGACCCAGCCAGGTGTCCTCTCTAGTGACCCAGCCAGGTGTCTCTCTAGTGACCCAGCCAGGTGTCTGTCTAGTGACCCAGCCAGGTGTCTCTCTAGTGACCCAGCCAGGTGTCTGTCTAGTGACCCAGCCAGGTGTCTGTCTAGTGACCCAGCCAGGTGTCTCTCTAGTGACCCAGCCAGGTGTCTGTCTAGTGACCCAGCCAGGTGTCTCTCTAGTGACCCAGCCAGGTGTCTCTCTAGTGACCCAGCCAGGTGTCTCTCTAGTGACCCAGCCATGTGTCTGTCTAGTGACCCAGCCAGGTTCTCTCTAGTTGACCCAGCCAGGTGTCTCTCTAGTGACCCAGCCAGGTGTCTCTATAGTGACCCAGCCAGGTGTCTCTCTAGTGACCCAGCCAGGTGTCCTCTCTAGTGACCCAGCCAGGTGTCTGTCTAGTGACCAGCCAGGTGCTCTCTAGTGACCCAGCCAGGGTCTCTCTAGTGACCCCAGCCAGGTGTCTCTCTAGTGACCCAGCAGGTGGTCTCTCTAGTGACCCAGCCAGGTGTCTGTCTAGTGACCCAGCCAGGTGTATCTCTAGTGACCCAGCCAGGTGTCTGTCTAGTGACCCAGCCAGGTGTCTCTCTAGTGACCCAGCCAGGTGTATGTCTAGTGACCCAGCCAGGGTCTGTCTAGTGACCCAGCCAGGTTTCTGTCTAGTGACCCAGCCAGGTGTCTCTCTAGTGACCCAGCAGGTGTCTGTCTAGTGACCCAGCCAGGTGTCTGTCTAGTGACCCAGCCAGGTGTCTCTCTAGTGACCCAGCCAGGTGTCTGTCTAGTGACCCAGCCAGGTGTCTGTCTAGTGACCCAGCCAGGTGTCTCTCTAGTGACCCAGCCAGGTGTCTCTCTAGTGACCCAGCCAGGTGTCTGTCTAGTGACCCAGCCAGGTGTCTGTCTAGTGACCCAGCCAGGTGTCTCTCTAGTGACCCAGCCAGGTGTCTCTCTAGTGACCCAGCCAGGTGTCTGTCTAGTGACCCAGCCAGGTGTCTGTCTAGTGACCCAGCCAGGTGTCTCTCTAGTGACCCAGCCAGGTGTCTCTCTAGTGACCCAGCCACCAGGGTTAGGGTTAGGAGCAGCCAGGGTTAGAGTTAGGAGCATCCAGGGTTAGAGTTAGGAGCATCCAGGATTAGGGTTAGGAGCAGCCAAGGTTAGGGTTAGGAGCAGCCAGGGTTAGGAGCAGCCAGGATTAGGTTTAGTTGCATCGTGGGTTAGAGTTAGGAGCATCCAGGATTAGGGATAGGAGCAGCCAAGGTTAGGGTTAGGAGCATCCAGGATTAGGGATAGGAGCAGCCAGGGTTAGAGTTAGGAGCATCCTAACACGCTTCAGTAAGGTTGGCTTCTTAGCGTTCATAGCCATGGTTATCAACTGTACCACAGAAATGGAACGTAAATCACAGAAAATAGATGTTGTGGTGGCAGCTGCAGAGAAGTTATTGGGTGTAAGAGATTTTACTGCAGAAGAGTTACAAGGTGTGTTGAACGATAGTGTCCCGTCCTCCCAGGCTGACGGCATCGAGTAGGATCAGATAAGGCCAAAGTAATGGAATAGTGGTCCCGTGTAGCTCAGTTGGTAGAGCATGGCGCTTGCAATGCCAGGTTTTGTGGGTTCGTTTCCCATAGGGGACCAGTATGAAAAACACTCTAAGTTGCTCTGGATAAGAGTGTCTGTTAAATGTAAATAGTGGTGAGGTTTTAATGGGTGTAGTGGTGAGGTTTTAATGGGTGTAGGGTTAGTTGGTATAGTGGTGAGGTTTTAATGGGTGTAGGGTTAGTTGGTATAGTGGTGAGGTTTTAATGGGGTGTAGGGGTTAAGTTGGTATAGTGGTGAGGTTTTAATGGGTGTAGGGTTAGTTGGTATAGTGGTTAGGTTTTAATGGGTGTAGTGGTGAGGTTTTAATGGGTGTAGGGTTAGTTGGTTATAGTGGTGAGGGTTTTAATGGGTTTGTAGGGTTAGTTGGTATAGTGGTGAGGTTTTAATGGGTTGTAGGGTTAGGCTGGTAGAGTGTGAGGTTTAATGGGTGTAGGGTGAGTGGTATAGTGGGTGAGGTTTTAATGGGTGGTAGGGTTAGTTGGTATAGTGGTGAGGTTTTAATGGGTGTAGGGTTAGCTGGTAGAGTGGTGAGGTTTTAATGGGTGTAGGGTTAGTTGGTTATAGTGGTGAGGGTTTAATGGTGTAGGGTTAGTTGGTATAGTGTGAGGTTTTAATGGGTGTAGGGTTAGTTGGTATAGTGGTGAGGTTTTAAGGGTATAGTGGTGAGGTTTAATGGGGTGTAGGGTTAGTTGGTATAGTGGTGAGGTTTAATGGGTGTAGGGTTAGTTGGTATAGTGGTGAGGTTTTAATGGGTTGTAGGGTTAGTGGGTTATAGTGGTGAGGTTTTAATGGGTATAGTGGTGAGGTTTTAATGGGTGTAGGGTTAGTTGGTATAGTGGTGAGGTTTTAATGGGTGTAGGGTTAGTTGGTATAGTGGGGAGGTTTTTAATGGGTGTAGGGGTTAGGTGGTATAGTGGTGAGGTTTTAATGGGTATAGTGGTGAGGTTTTAATGGGTGTAGGGTTAGTTGGTATAGTGGTGAGGTTTTAATGGGTGTAGGGTTAGTTGGTATAGTGGGGAGGTTAGTTGGTATAGTGGGGAGGTTAGTTGGTATAGTGGGGAGGTTAGTTGGTATAGTGGGGAGGTTAGTTGGTATAGTGGGGAGGTTAGTTGGTATAGTGGGGAGGTTAGTTGGTATAGTGGGGAGGTTAGTTTGTAGGGACATTGTCTTCCTTTGTCACAGGCCACACCTTTGCGGGCCGCCATAATACAATAGAAAAAGAAGAAGAAGAAGAGACTCACTAACACGTTTGTCCATGAATCTGTATGAATCTGTTAGTCAATGAGTTTCTATGGGCTAATAGCAGTAAGACCAAATTCAGTGTTGCATGAAACCATTTTTACATATATATTTTCTCTGTCTCTATTATATCTGTCTATCCTGTGTCTCTATCTCTATTGTCTCTGTCTATCCTGTGTCTCTGTCTCTATTGTCTCTGTCTATCCTCTGTCTCTATTGTCTCTGTCTATCCTGTGTCTCTGTCTCTGTTGTCTCTGTCTATCCTGTGTCTCTGTCTCTATTGTCTCTGTCTATCCTGTGTCTCTGTCTCTATTGTCTCTGTCTATCCTGTGTCTCTGTCTCTATTGTCTCTTTCTATCCTGTGTCTCTAACTCTATTGTCTCTGTCTATCCTGTGTCTATCTCTATTGTCTCTGTCTATCCTGTGTCTCTGTCTCTGTTGTCTCTGTCTATCCTGTGTCTCTGTCTCTATTGTCTCTGTCTATCCTGTGTCTCTGTCTCTATTGTCTCTGTCTATCCTGTGTCTCTGTCTCTATTGTCTCTTTCTATCCTGTGTCTCTAACTCTATTGTCTCTGTCTATCCTCTGTCTCTATTGTCTCTGTCTATCCTCTGTCTCTATTGTCTCTGTCTCCCCTGTGTTTCTGTCTCTATTGTCTCTGTCTATCCTCTGTCTCTATTGTCTCTGTCTCCGCTGTGTCTCTGTCTCTATTGTCTCTGTCTATCCTGTGTCTCTGTCTCTATTGTCTCTGTCTATCCTGTGTCTCTGTCTCTATTGTCTCTGTCTCCCCTGTGTCTCTGTCTCTATTGTCTCTGTCTATCCTCTGTCTCTATTCTCTGTCTATCCTGTGTCTCTGTCTCTATTGTCTCTGTCTCCCCTGTGTTTCTGTCTCTATTGTCTCTGTCTCCCCTGTGTCTCTGTCTCTATTGTATCTGTCTCCGCTGTGTCTCTATCTCTATTGTCTCTGTCTATCCTGTGTCTCTGTCTCTATTGTCTCTGTCTATCCTCTGTCTCTGTCTCTATTGTCTCTGTCTATCCTCTGTCTATATTCTCTGTCTATCCTGTGTCTCTGTCTCTATTGTCTCTGTCTCCCCTGTGTTTCTGTCTCTATTGTCTCTGTCTCCCCTGTGTCTCTGTCTCTATTGTCTCTGTCTCCACTGTGTCTCTGTCTCTATTGTCTCTGTCTATCCTGTGTCTCTGTCTCTATTGTCTCTGTCTCCGCTGTGTCTCTGTCTCTATTGTCTCTGTCTATCCTGTGTCTATCTCTATTGTCTCTGTCTCCCCTGTGTCTCTGTCTCTATTGTCTCTGTCTATCCTCTGTCTATATTCTCTGTCTATCCTGTGTCTCTGTCTCTATTGTCTCTGTCTCCCCTGTGTTTCTGTCTCTATTGTCTCTGTCTCCCCTGTGTCTCTGTCTCTATTGTCTCTGTCTCCACTGTGTCTCTGTCTCTATTGTCTCTGTCTATCCTGTGTCTCTGTCTCTATTGTCTCTGTCTCCGCTGTGTCTCTGTCTCTATTGTCTCTGTCTATCCTGTGTCTATCTCTATTGTCTCTGTCTCCCCTGTGTCTCTGTCTCTATTGTCTCTGTCTCCGCTGTGTCCTTGTCTCTATTGTCTCTGTCTATCCTGTGTCTCTGTCTCTATTGTCTCTGTCTCCCCTGTGTCTCTGTCTCTAGCATTACCTCAGTACAATACACCATCCCCTGCTGTTTGCTGTGCTCTATTGTATCTGCATCTGTTTGTCTCTCTCTCTGTCTCTGTGTGTCCTTACCGCTGCCTGTCCCTCTCTCTGTCCATATCTCTGTCCCTGTTTCTGTCGCTGCCTCTGTCTCTGCTTGTCTCTATCTCTGCCTCTGCCTGTCTCTCTTCCTGCCCTGTCTCTTCTTCTGCCTGTCCCTCTCTCTGTCTCTGTCCCTGTCTGTCTCTGACCCTGTCCCTGTCGCAGCCTGTCTCTGTCTCTGTTTTTGCCTGTCTCTGTCCCTGTCTCTTCTTCTGCCTGTCCCTGTCTCTGCCTGTCTCTGTTCTGGTACCTGTCTCTGTCTGTCTCTTTCTCTGCCTGTCTTTGTCCATTTCTCTGTTCTGGTCCCTTAATCTGCCTGTTTCTGTCTCTGCCTCTGCCTGTCTCTGTCGCTGTGTCTCTGTCCCTGTCTTGGCCTTTCTCTTCTGCCTGTCTCTGTTCCAGTCCCTGTCTGTCCCTGCCTCCTCATCTTTCTGTCTCTGCCTGTCTTTGCCTGTCTCTGTCTGTCTCTGTTCCCCGTCTCTGTCCCTGTTTCTGTTTCTACCTGTCTCTGTCCCTGTCTCTGCCCGTATCCGTCTCTGCCTGTCTCTGTCCCTCTCCCTGTCTCTTCTTCTGCCTGTCTCTGTCCCTGTCTCTTCTTCTGCTGTCTCCATCCCTGTCTCTGCCTGTCTCTGTCCCTGTCTCTTCTTCTGCTGTCTCTATCCCTGTCTCTGCCTGTCTCTGTCCCTCTCCCTGTCTCTTCTTCTGCCTGTCTCTGTCCCTTGGTCTCTTCTTCTGCCTGTCTCTGTCCCAGTCTCTTCTTCTGCTGTCTCTATCCCTGTCTCTGCCTGTGTCCATCCCTGTCTCTGTCTCTGTCCCTGTCTCTGCCTGTATGCGTCTCTGCCTGTCTCTGTCCCTCTCCCTGTCTCTTCTTCTGCCTGTCTCGATCCCTGTCTCTTCTTCTGCCTGTGTCTGTCCCTGTCTCTTCTTCTGCCTGTCTCTGTCCCTGTCTCTTCTTCTGCCTGTCTCTGTCCCTGTCTCTTCTTCTGCCTGTCTCTATCCCTGTCTTCTTCTGCCTGTCTCTGTCCCTGTCTCTTCTTCTGCCTGTCTCTGTCCCTGTCTCTTCTTCTGCCTGTCTCTGCCTGTCTCTGTCCCTGTCTCTTCTTTTGCCTGTCTCTGTCCCTGTCTCTTCTTCTGCCTGTCTCTGTCCCTGTCTCTGTTACAGTCCCTGTTCCGGTCCCTGTCCCTGTCTCTCAACCCTGTATTTTTCTCTGTCCCTGTCTCTTCTTCTTTCTGTCTCTGTCCCTTTCTCTGCCTTTCTCTGTCTCTGTCTCTGTCTCTGTCTCTGTCTGTCCTGTTCCCGGTCTTGTCTCTAGTCTTGTCCTGTATCTGCCTGTTCTATCCTGTCTCTTTTCTGCCTTGTCTCTATCCCTGTCTCTTCTTCTGCCTGTCTCTTGTCCCTGTCTCTTCTTTCTGCCTGTCTCTGTCCTGTCTCTTCTTCGTGCCATGTTCTCGCTGTTCCCTGTCTCTTCTTCTGCCTGTCTCTGTCCCTGTCTCTTCTTCTGCCCGTCTCTGTCCCTGTCTCTTCTTCTGTCTGTCTCTGTCCCTGTCTCTTCTTCTGCCTGTCTTTGTCCCTGTCTCTTCTTCTGTCTGTCTCTATCCCTGTCTCTTCTTCTGCCTGTCTTGCCTTTCTCTTGTCCCTGTCTCTTCTTCTGCCTGTCTCTGCCTGTCTCTGTCCCCTGTCTCTTTTCTGCCTGTCTTCTATCCCTGTCTTTCTTCTGCCTTGTCCTCTGTCCTGTCTCTTCTTCTGCCAGTCTCTGTCCCTGTCTCTTCTTCTGCCTGTCTCTGTCCCTGTCTCTGTCTCTTCTTCTGCCTGTCTCTGTCCCTGTCTCTTCTTCTGCCTGTCTCTGTCCCTGTCTCTTCTTCTGCCTGTCTCTGTCCCTGTCTCTGTCCCTGTCTCTTCTTCTGCCTGTCTCTATCCCTGTCTCTTCTTCTGCCTGTCTCTGTCTCTGTCTCTTCTTCTGCCTGTCTCTGTCCCTGTCTCTTCTTCTGCCTGTCTCTGCCTGTCTCCGTCCCTGTCTCTTCTTCTGCCTGTCTCTATCCCTGTCTCTTCTTCTGCCTGTCTCTGTCCCTGTCTCTTCTTCTGCCTGTCTCTGTCCCTGTCTCTTCTTCTGCCTGTCTCTGTCCCTGTCTCTTCTTCTGCCTGTCTGTCCCTGTCTCTTCTTCTGCCTGTCTCTGTCCCTGTCTCTTCTTCTGCCTGTCTCTGCCTGTCTCTGTCCCTGTCTCTTCTTCTGCCTGTCTCTGCCTGTCTCTGTCCCTGTCTCTTCTTCTGCCTGTCTCTATCCCTGTCTCTTCTTCTGCCTGTCTCTGTCTCTTCTTCTGCCTGTCTCTGTCCCTGTCTCTTCTTCTGCCTGTCTCTGTCCCTGTCTCTTCTTCTGCCTGTCTCTATCCCTGTCTCTTCTTCTGCCTGTCTCTGTCCCTGTCTCTTCTTCTGCCTGTCTCTGTCCCGGTCTCTGTCACTGTCTCTTCTTCTGCCTGTCTCTGTCTCTGTCTGTCCCTGCCTGTCCTGTCTGTCTCTGTCTGTCCCTGTTCTGGTCTTTGTCTCTGTCTCTGTCTCTGTCTCTGTCTCTGTCTCTTCTTCTGCCTGTCTCTGTTCCGGTCCCTGTCTCGTATCTCAATCTAAATTGCTGTCTGTCTTTATCTAAATCTGTCCCCCTGTCCCCCCAGGTCTGACAGAGATGCTGTCCAATATGGTACAGGAGGTGAGACTGGCTATCAACAGTGACATCAGTGGGTCTGAAGTCCTCTACAGTCTCCTCAGCGCCCCCTGGCTGCAGTCCCTACTCAAGGTCACAAATCGTTATTTTGATACAGTCTCTGCTAAAAGTCTGTCATCTTTATTTATTATACAGTCTATGTCATCCGTCATCTGACCACTGATCCACCCCTTATCTGCCAAACATACATCACCCAGATATCGGTATTACCTGTTAATCCTACTGCATACAATACTACCATGATAACAGCTCTAAGCGTTAGTTAGCGTCACATCAACCATTCATGCTGATGTTACCTAATAATCCATACCTGTTTATACATACAGTTGAAGTCGGAAGTTTACATACACCTTAGCCAAATATATTTAAACTCAGTTTATCACAATTCCTGACATTTAATCCTAGTAAAAATTCCCTGCCTTAGGTCAGTTAGGATCACCACTTTATTTTAATAATGTGAAATGTCAGAATAATAGTAGAGAGAATTATTTATTACAGCTTTTATTTATTTCATCACATTCCCAGTGGGTCAGAAGTTTACATACACTCAATTAGTATTTGGTAGCATTGCCTTTAAATTGTTTAACTTGGGTCAAATGTTTCGGGTAGCCTTCCACAAGCTTCCCACAATAAGTTGGGTGAATTTTGGCCCATTCCTCCTGACAGAGCAGGTGTAACTGAGTCAGGTTTGTAGGCCTCCTTGCTCGCACAAGCTTTTTCAGTTCTGCCCACACATTTTCTATAGGACTGAGGTCAGGGCTTTGTGATGGCCACTCCAATACCTTGACTTTGTTGTCCTTAAGACATTTTGCCACAACTTTGGAAGTATGCTTGGGGTTATTGTCCATTTGGAAGACTCATTTGCGACCAAGCTTTAACTTCCTGACTGATGTCTTGAGATGTTGCTTCAATATATCCACATCATTTTCCTTCCTCATGATGCCATCTATTTTGTGAAGTGCACCAGTCCCTCCTGCAGCAAAGCACCCCCACAGCATGATGCTGCCACCCCCGTGCTTCACGGTTGGGATGGTGTTATTCGGCTTGCAAGCTACCCCCTTTTTCCTCCAAACATAACGATGGTCATTATGGCCAAACAGTTCTATTTTTGTTTCATCAGACCAAAGGACATTTCTCCAAAAAGTACGATCTTTGTCCCCATGTGCAGTTGCAAACCGTAGTCTGGCTTTTTTATGGCGGTTTTGGAGCAGTGGCTTCTTCCTTGCTGAGCGGCCTTTCAGGTTATGTCGATATAGGACTCGTTTTACTGTGGATGTAGATACTTTTGTACCTGTTTCCTCCAGCATCTTCACAAGGTCCTTTGCTGTTGTTCTGGGATTGATTTGCACCTTTCGCACCAAAGTACGTTCATCTCTAGGAGACAGAACGCGTCTCCTTCCTGAGCGGTATGACAGCTGCGTGGTCCCATGATGTTTATACTTGCGTACTATTGTTTGTACAGATGAACGTGTTACCTTCAGGTGTTTGGTAATTGCTCCCAAGGATGAACCAGACTTGTGGAGGTCTACAATTTGTTTTCTGAGGTCTTGGCTGATTTCTTTTGATTTTCCCATGATGTCAAGCAAAGAGGCAATGAGTTTGAAGGTAGGCCTTGAAATACATCCACAGGTACACCTCCAATTGACTCAAATGATGTCAATTAGCCTAGAAGCTTCTAAAGCCATGACATCATTTTCTGGAATTTTTCAAGCTGTTAAAAGCACAGTCAATTTAGTGTATGTAAACTTCTGACCCACTGGAATTGTGATACAGTGAATTATAAGTGAAATAATCTGTCTGTAAACAATTGTTGGAAAAATGACTTGTGTCATGCACAAAGTAGATGTCCTGACCGACCTGCCAAAACGATAGTTTGTTAACAAGACATTTGTGGAGTGGTTGAAAAACGAGTTTTAATGACTCCAACCTAAGTGTATGTAAACTTCCAACTTCAACTGTACATACAGACATACAGTACATGATGGTGACATGATACATGTAAGCAGCTCTTGCTGTTAGTCGCTGGTATTCTGGCTTGCTGCAAGAATTATATATATCTAGTGCTTGTTATCTTATTCGCTACGCTAGCCCTCTTTAATGTTATCTTGGTGTTTACCACAGTAGTCACTGTGCTAGCCCTCTTTAATGTTATCTTGGTGTTTTCTACAGTAGTCGCTACGCTAGCCCCTCTTTAAATGTTATCCTTGGTGTTTTCTACAGTAGTCGCTATGCTAGCCCTCTTTAATGTTATCTTGGTGTTTACCAACAGTAGTCACTAATGCTAGCCCTCGTTAATGTTATCTTGGTGTTTACCACAGTAGTCGCTACGCTAGTCCTCTTTAATGTTATCTTGGTGTTTTCTACAGTAGTCACTATGCTAGCCCTCTTTAATGTTATCTTGGTGTTTACCACAGTAGTCACTACGCTAGTCCTCTTTAATGTTATCTTGGTGTTTACCACAGTAGTCACTATGCTAGCCCTCGTTAATGTTATCTTGGTGTTTTCTACAGTAGTCGCTACGCTAGTCCTCTTTAATGTTATCTTGGTGTTTACCACAGTAGTCACTATGCTAGCCCTCTTTAATGTTATCTTGGTGTTTTCTACAGTAGTCACTATGCTAGCCCTCTTTAATGTTATCTTGGTGTTTTCTACAGTAGTCACTATGCTAGCCCTCTTTAATGTTATATTGGTGTTTTCTACAGTAATCACTATGCTAGCCCTCTTTAATGTTATCTTGGTGTTTTCTACAGTAGTCACTATGCTAGCCCTCTTTAATGTTATCTTGGTGTTTTCTACAGTAGTCACTATGCTAGCCCTCTTTCATGTTATCTTGGTGTTTACCACAGTAGTCGCTATGCTAGCCCTCTTTAATGTTATCTTGGTGTTTTCTACAGTAGTCGCTATGCTAGCCCTCTTTAATGTTCTCTTGGTGTTTTCCACAGTAGTCACTATGCTAGCCCTCTTTAATGTTATCTTGGTGTTTTCTACAGTAGTCCCTATGCTAGCCCTCTTTAATGTTATCTTGGTGTTTTCTACAGTAGTCGCTATGCTAGCCCTCTTTCATGTTACCTTGGTGTTTACCACAGTAGTCGCTATGCTAGCCCTCTTTAATGTTATCTTGGTGTTTACCACAGTAGTCGCTATGCTAGCCCTCGTTAATGTTATCTTGGTGTTTACCACAGTAGTCGCTACGCTAGCCCTCTTTAATGTTCTCTTGGTGTTTACCACAGTAGTCGCTATGCTAGCCCTCTTTAATGTTCTCTTGGTGTTTACCACAGTAGTCGCTATGCTAGCCCTCTTTAATGTTATCTTGGTGTTTTCTACAGTAGTCGCTATGCTAGCCCTCTTTAATGTTATCTTGGTGTTTTCTACAGTAGTCGCTATGCTAGCCCTCTTTAATGTTATCTTGGTGTTTACCACAGTAGTCGCTATGCTAGCCCTCTTTAATGTTATCTTGGTGTTTTCTACAGTAGCCACTATGCTAGCCCTCTTTAATGTTATCTTGGTGTTTTCCACAGTAGTCGCTATGCTAGCCCTCTTTAATGTTATCTTGGTGTTTACCACAGTAGTCGCTACGCTAGCCCTCTTTAATTTTATATTGGTGTTTTCTACAGTAATCACTATGCTAGCCCTCTTTAATGTTATCTTGGTGTTTTCTAAGGTAGTCACTATGCTAGCCCTCTTTAATGTTATATTGGTGTTTTCTACAGTAATCACTATGCTAGCCCTCTTTAATGTTATCTTGGTGTTTACCACAGTAGTCACTATGCTAGCCCTCTTTAATGTTATCTTGGTGTTTTCTACAGTAGTCGCTACGCTAGCCCTCTTTAATGTTATCTTGGTGTTTACCACAGTAGTCACTATGCTAGCCCTCTTTAATGTTATCTTGGTGTTTTCTACAGTAGTCACTATGCTAGCCCTCTTTAATGTTATCTTGGTGTTTACCACAGTAGTCATATGCTAGCCCATCTTTAATTTATCTTGGTGTTTTCTACAGTAGTCCTATGCTAGCCCTCTAAGTTCAATGCTCATACCCAGTGCCTATCTGTCTGTGTTGTCTCTGTATAATGAACAGGTAAAGATGCATTGTATGGTATTATATGTCTGTGTTTTCTACAGGTCTATGAGTGTCTGCTGAAGTTCAGAAGGCTTCCACCCAGTCCCTACCTGCGTTATGCCTCTGGTCTCTCTCACGAGGTCAGTACACTAGACTTAGGGAGCGTCTGAAATGCCAGTCCCTTATGCCTCTGGTCTCTCTCACGAGGTCAGTACACTAGACTTAGGGAGCGTCTGAATGATGCCTAGTGCCTCTTCTACAGCTTGCCTTATGCACTCTGGTCTCGTACCATCGAGGCGTCTACGTCACACTAGACTTAGGGAGCGTCTGAAATGGCAACCTTTTCCTTATATAGTGCCCTTCTTTTTACCAGGGCTCTGGTCAGAAGTAGTGCACTATGTAGAGAATATGGTACCATTTAGGACGCTCCCTAACTCCCCGACAGAAAACTAGATGACTTGGGCTAGCTGTACTGCCCACGACATCATGAATGACAGCTAATGGTATTTGTCTTGTGTTCGTTTTTTATGCCTGTTTAACAGATCCTGTCCAACATCCGAGCAGCACCAGCCCCGTCCCCAGAGGCCAGACGGCTCTATAATCTATTGAAGTCCCCCCATCTACAGGTAAGATGGAAGCTTTTATTCACATTATTCAGAGCGTTGTACTTTTACTGTCAGAACAGATTAGACTACTTGTGCCCTTCTCACAGTAACGTGCCAAACCCCGAACGTTAGTGTAATGTCTTGATTATTTTCTTAACACATTTTCCTTTCAAGAAACTATTGGTAGATGCGTAAGATGGCCAGTGCAGTACAGCTTGGCTCGGCTCAGTACAGCTTGGCTCGGCTCAGTTTAGCTTGGCTTGGCTCAGTTGGGCTGACTAGTTAGTTGGCTCGACTTTCTGACAGCTATGGCTCGGCTCATGTTTAGCTTGGCTCGGCTCATACTGCTTGGCTGCTCGTTTAGACTTGGCTTGGTGATTGGCTAAGACGGCTGATTACTGACTGCCTCTGTTGACTGGTTGGCTCTTGCTGGACTAACTGGCTTGGACTGACTGCGATGGCTAACTGACTGACTGGCTGACTGACTGACTGACTGACGTTGTGACTGCTGACTGCTGACTGGAACTGACTGAGACTGGTGGCTGACTTGGCTGACTGGACTGACTGGCTAACTGATGACTGACTGACTGGTTGGCTGACTTGCTGACTGGCTGACTGGCTAACTGACTGACTGACTGGTTGGCTGACTGACTGGCTAACTGACTGGTTGGCTGACTTGCTGACTGACTAACTGGTTGGCTGACTGACTGACTGGTTTGCTGACTGGCTGACTGGCTAAATGACTGGCTGACTGGCTAACTGACTGGCTGACTGACTGACTGGTTGGCTGACTGACTGGCTAACTGACTGGTTGGCTGACTGACTAACTGGTTGGCTGACTGACTGGTTGGCTGACTTGCTGACTGGCGGACTGGCTGACTGGCTAACTGACTGGCTGACTGGCTGACTGACTGACTGACTGACTGGTTGGCTGACTTGCTGACTGGCTAACTGACTGGCAGACTGGCTAACTGACTGGCTAACTGACTGACTGGTTGGCTGACTGACTGGCTAACTGACTGGTTGGCTGACTTGCTGACTGGCTGACTGGCTAACTGACTGGCTGACTGGCTGACTGACTGACTGACTGGTTGGCTGACTTGCTGACTGGCTGACTGGCTAACTGACTGGCAGACTGGCTAACTGACTGGCTAACTGACTGACTGGTTGGCTGACTGACTGACTGACTGACTGGTTTGCTGACTGGCTGACTGGCTAACTGACTGACTGACTGGTTGGCTGACTGACTGGCTAACTGACTGGTTGGCTGACTTGCTGACTGACTAACTGGTTGGCTGACTGACTGACTGGTTTGCTGACTGGCTGACTGGGTAAATGACTGGCTGACTGGCTAACTGACTGGCTGACTGACTGACTGGTTGGCTGACTGACTGGCTAACTGACTGGTTGGCTGACTTGCTGACTGACTAACTGGTTGGCTGACTGACTGGTTGGCTGACTTGCTGACTGGCTGACTGGCTGACTGGCTGACTGGCTAACTGACTGGCTGACTGGCTGACTGACTGACTGACTGACTGGTTGGCTGACTTGCTGACTGACTAACTGGTTGGCTGACTGACTGGTTGGCTGACTTGCTGACTGGCTGACTGGCTGACTGGCTGACTGGCTAACTGACTGGCTGACTGGCTGACTGACTGACTGACTGACTGGTTGGCTGACTTGCTGACTGGCTGACTGGCTAACTGACTGACTGACTAGTTGGCCTACTTGCTGGCTGACTGCCTGTGTTCTTCCCCTCCCAGGCCCTCCTCTCAGCCCATGACACGGTGGCCCAGACAGACTATGAGCCAGTTCTCCCTCCGCTCCCTGAGGACCTGCCAGAGGACGAGGAGGCCATGAGGATCGTCTGTCTGGTCAAGAACAAACAGCCCCTGGTGAGTACTGTACTAGATCACTACAATCACACAACACCTCACAATGCCGTTACACTCACACATTACAGTACTGTGACTGTAACTCTGTGACTAACTCTGTGACTGTAACTCTGTGACTGTAACTCTGTGACTGTAACTCTGTGACTGTAACTCTGTGACTGTAACTCTGTGACTAACTCTGTGACTGTAACTCTGTGACTAACTATGTGACTGTAACTCTGTGACTAACTCTGTGACTGTAACTCTGTGACTGTAACTCTGTGACTAACTCTGTGACTGTAACTCTGTGACTGTAACTCTGTGACTAACTCTGTGACTGTAACTCTGTGACTGTAACTCTGTGACTAACTCTGTGACTGGAACTCTGTGACTGTGACTGTAACTCTGTGACTGTAACTCTGTGACTGTAACTCTGTGACTGTAACTCTGTGACTAACTCTGTGACTGTAACTCTGTGACTGTGACTGTAACTCTGTGACTGTAACTCTGTGACTAACTCTGTGACTGTAACTCTGTGACTGTAACTCTGTGACTAACTCTGTGACTGTAACTCTGTGACTGTGACTGTAACTCTGTGACTGTAACTCTGTGACTGTAACTCTGTGACTGTAACTCTGTGACTGTAACTCTGTGACTGTAACTCTGTGACTGATGATGGCCCACAGTAGCCATAGTCACATATTCATGGGGAATAATTCTGTGGCGTAAATATCATGAACGTGCAAAGCAGTAAAACTCTGTTTATACAGTCTGTTAGCCACTCTGAGGACAAATCAGATGCCCCTGTAATGAACTGTAGTTGCTGCTTCTCTCTCCACTAGAGACCTCTGTCTCATCCCTGGGGCTGGTAACTTGTTGACTTGGGTCCTAGTTCCAATGTAACCCAGGCTCTGTCTCTACTTATAAGAACGGTGGAGGAGGAGGAGGAGGAGCAGGAGGAGGCAGTGCCAGTGGAGAGTTTATCTGTAGTCGTTGGGACAGCCTGCGGCGCCTCACCCTCGAGAGACTGGTCCATGGGAGGAGGGCGAGGTCAAGGGAGCACTTAGCCACGTCAGGGGGGCACAGGGACAGTTATACCTCTGCTGGCCTGCTGGCCCCCGTTTTCCCTGGTCAGTCACGGCCCCTCCCTCGCTACGAGTCCACCGGGTCCCGGCCCCTTCCTCGCTACGAGTCCACAGGCAGCTGCAAGCTGTGTCGCCAGACAGCAGAGCTCTGGGAGAGAGGCCTGAACCACTCTGCTCCCTCTGTCTGCAGCCCTGTACACACCACTGGTAGGAGGACAAAGGGGACACAGGAAGCATCTAGAATACAGTCAGTGTATTGTAATGCTTCAGATTTTCATCTTGTCACTACTTTCATTGCCTTTTATCGCTTTCTTTACAGGACGTATTTTATAATATGTGTGATTGTAATCCTCATCATCACTGTGCCTAGTTACTGTTTCTGCTGGGTTTGATCGTCTTGTTAATGATCATGAATATTTCAGCTTTATTTCTCTTCCATCTTCTCCTCTGACCTCTAACCTCTGACCTCTACGACTGTCTTCCTCCTTCACCTGTGGAGATAAAACCTTGCCCGAGGACAAACAGAACGGAGACAACAGGAATCACGACCTAGGAAAGGGGGACTACGCCTACCCTCCCTCTCACTGGAAGGGCCCCCTCCCAACCACCAGCCTGACCATCCCTAACTCCCCTATCTGTCACCCCCGTAAGATCCTAACTCCTGGTAGTGGTGGTGGTGGCCACCGGGCTCGGACGGCTCCCTCTAGCCCCGTAACCAGGCAACGGAGATGGCTAGGCTCCCAGAACGGACCTAGCCGGGACCCCTCTCTGGATCTGACCGAGCAGCCCAGCCTGGATGAGCTGAAGAGTGCGGTCGAGTCTGTAGCCAGCAGTATAGAGAACAGCAGTAGTGGTGTCCGTGACCTGGGCCAGAAGATGGTGTCCGCCACAGAGCTGATGTCAGATAGCGTGGAGGAGAATGCTCTTGCTCTCAACCTGTTAGTGGAGGTGGTTGATAAACTGCAGGGACTCATTATTGCGTCCAAGTCTCCCAAAACGCCACCTCCACCACCTCCTCCACCCAAAATCTTCCCTTCACCTCCCTCTCCTCCTCCACCACCTCCTCCTCCTCATCCTCGAGTCAAACTCTTCCCATCTCCTCCCCCTAGCTGCTTATCCTCCTCCTCCTCCTCTTCCTCCTCTTCCTCATCCTCCTCCATCTGTGCCTATATGGATAGTCACCTCTCACCTCCAGGTTCCAGGAAGTGTTCCTCGGTCTCGGGTCAGAACAGCATCAATAAGAGGTGGGTGACCATCAGTGGTCCTCCTCAGAGACCCGGTAACAGACAGGCCCGTCTCCCCAACGGGTTCTCTGGTTCAGGTTCTAGAACACTGGAGGGTTCTAGAACAGAGGAGGACCAGAACACCACAAGGTGCTTTTCCAGTAAGAAGAAGAAGTAACCCTCAGGATCCTGGTCTCCTCTCCTTCCTTCATCTGCTCTGCCGTCTTCAGCAACGAACATAACCGTGAAAGGGAAATAGACTGAGTTCAGTTGACGGGGTTATCACCCCTAGTGTTCTGCCTCCTGTATTTGGACTGTGGACCTCCTATGATCTCAGTCAAAGGTACAGCGGTATAACTACATCCCTTAATTCCAGTGAATAGCTTACCATCTCTCCTTCGTCTTGTCTTCATTGAATTTAACCATTCCACCCCGTTGCTGGCTACTCTGCCTGACTTTCTGGCATCTCTTCATTCTCGCAAATTAGATTAAACCTTCCATCATCCTCTGCCTCCTGTGTCCTGCTGTTTCAGATCATTCATTTCCTCCTGATCACGTGTTCCCACCTGCATCAGCTTGACAGGGTACTTTTTGTTGATCGTCACCGTGTCCAATCCTAATCGCTTTACTCATTTCCTCTTCAAACCCTCCCATGAGCCAGAATGTGTCTCCATTCACACAGAACACTTCAATTACAGTGAGGGAAAAAAGTATTTGATCCCCTGCTGATTTTGTACGTTTGCCCACTCACAAAGACATGATCAGTCTATAATTTTAATGGTAGGTTTATTTGAACAGTGAGAGACAGAATAACAACAAAAGAATCCAGAAAAACGCATGTCAAAAATGTTATAAATTGATTAGCATTTTAATGAGAGAAATAAGTATTTGGACCCCCTCTCAATCAGAAAGATTTCTGGCTCCCAGGTGTCTTTTATACAGGTAACGAGCTGAGATTAAGAGCACACTCTTAAAGGGAGTGCTCCTAATCTCAGTTTGTTACCTGTATAAAAGACACCTGTCCACAGAAGCAATCAATCAATCAGATTCCAAACTCTCCACCATGGCCAAGACCAAAGAGCTCTCCAAGGATGTCAGGGACAAGATTGTAGACCTACACAAGGCTGGAATGGGCTACAAGACCATCGCCAAGCAGCTTGGTGAGAAGGTGACAACAGTTGGTGCGATTATTCGCAAATGGAAGAAACACAAAAGAACTGTCAATCTCCCTCGGCCTGGGGCTCCATGCAAGATCTCACCTCGTGGAGTTGCAATGGTCATGAGAACAGTGAGGAATCAGCCCAGAACTACACGGGAGGATCTTGTCAATGATCTCAAGGCAGCTTGGACCACAGTCACCAAGAAAACAATTGGTAACTCATTACGCCGTGAAGGACTGAAATGCTGCAGAGCCCGCAAGGTCCCCCTGCTCAAGAAAGCACATATACAGGCCCGTCTGAAATTTGCCAATGAACATCTGAATGATTCAGAGGAGAACTGGATGAAAGTGTTGTGGTCAGATGAGACCAAAATCGAGCTCTTTGGCATCAACTCAACTCGCCGTGTTTGGAGGAGGAGGAATGCTGCCTATGACCCCAAGAACACCATCCCCACCGTCAAACATGGAGGTGGAAACATTATGCTTTGGGGGTGTTTTTCTGCTAAGGGGACAGGACAACTTCACTGCATCAAAGGGACGATGGACAGGGCCATGTACCGTCAAAATCTTGGGTGAGAACCTCCTTCCCTCAGCCAGGGCATTGGAAATGGGTCGTGGATGGGTATTCCAGAATGACAATTACCCAAAACACACGGCCAAGGCAACAAAGGAGTGGCTCAAGAAGAAGCACATGAAGGTCCTGGAGTGGCCTAGCCAGTCTCCAGACCTTAATCCCATAGAAAATCTGTGGAGGGAGCTTAAGGTTCGAGTTGCCAAACGTCAGCCTCGAAACCTTAATGACTTGGAGAAGATCTGCAAAGAGGAGTGGGACAAAATCCCTCCTGAGATGTGTGCAAACCTGGTGGCCAACTACAAGAAACGTCTGACCTCTGTGATTGCCAACAAGTGTTTTGCCACCAAGTACTAAGTCATGTTTTGCAGAGGGTCCAAATACTTATTTCCCTCATTAAAATGCAAATCAATTTATAACATTTTTGACATGCGTTTTTCTGGATTTTGTTGTTGTTTTTCTGTCTCTCACTGTTCAAATGAACCTACCATTAAAATTATAGACTGATCATGTCTTTGTCAGTGGGCAAATGTACAAAATCAGCAGGGGATCAAATACTTTTTTCCCCTCACTGTAGGTAGTTAGGTTTTTCACCTTTTTGTGTCAAATAACTGCATGTGCTGACTTTTTTTCCTCTTGTACCCACCAGGGAGCCACGATAAAGAAGGATGAGGACACAGGAGAGATCTTCATAGCCAGGGTGATACATGGAGGCCTTGCGGATCGCAGTGGTGAGTCTGTCTGACTGGGTTCATTCAGACATAATATTTACCTTTTCTTCTCAAATGTGACAATTTTGCCGCATTTACCTAGCCTTGACTTCCAGTCTTTTACATAAAATGTGTACTTTTTGTGTGGCTAATATAGAAACAATTGTCTGACTTGAGAGACTAGCATTTACCTGATCGTGATGACCTCTATAATACCTCTTAGTGACTTGCTACTGCCTGTGTGTTTGGTGTTCAGGTCTTCTGCATCCAGGGGATCTGCTGGTGGAGGTGAATGGGAACCCTGTGGAAGGACTGGACCCAGAACAGGTCATACAGATACTGGTCAGTTCTTTTCCTCTCTCTCTCTCTGTCTCTGTCTCTGTCTCTGTCTCTGTCTCTGTCTCTGTCTCTCTCTCTCTCTCTCTCTGTCTCTCTCTCTCTCTGTCTCTCTCTCTCTGTATCTCTATCTCTCTCTCTGTCTCTGTCTCTGTCTGTCTCTCTCTCTGTCTGTCTGTCTCTCTCTCTCTCTCTCTCTCTCTCTCTCTCTCTCTCTCTCTCGCTCTCTCTCTCTCTCTCTCTGTGTCTCTCTCTCATTGTGTCTCTCTCTCTCTCTCTGTCTGTCTCTCTGTCTCTCTCTCTCTCTGTGTCTCTCTCTCTCCCTGTGTCTCTCTGTCTCTCTCTCTTTCTTTCTGTGTGTCTCTCTCTCTCTTTCTGTCTCTCTCTCTCTCTCTCTCTGTATCTCTCTCTGTGTATCTCTCTCTCTCTCTCTCTGTCTCTCTGTCTCTGTGTCTCTCTCATCTCTTTATTGTTCTGGTTTAAACTCATCCCTCTAGGTCCAATCTCAAGGCACTATCTTGTTCAAAGTGATTCCAAACACACCACAATCAACTAAGAGCCAACAGCCAGCCTTGGTGAGTTCCCCATAATAATCTCTCAAGAATCCAGTTTCCAAATAGCGTGTGTGTTGTTTGTTTACTCATGTACTTCCCTCTCTTCTTCTTCTTCTTCTTCTTCTTCTTCTTCGTCTTCTCTCTCCCCAGCTGTATGTGCGGGCCATGGTAGACTACTGCCCCCTGCAGGACCCAGCTATCCCCTGTCCTGACGCTGGCATAGTCTTCAGTAGAGGAGACCTGCTGGAGATAGTCGACCAGACAGACGTCCACTGGTGGCAGGCTAGGAAGCTGCCCAGTGCCTCAGCCTGCGCCGGCCTCATCCCCTCCACCAGCCTGTTCAAGAGGTGGGGGTGACAGAGAGGCAGACAGACAGACAGACATAAACACCACAGCCTTCACAAGATCACCACCCGGGATCAATTCCATTTCAATTCAGTCAATCAGTTTACTTCCTTAATTGACTGAATGAAAACGGAATTGACCCCAACCCTGGAAGACTCCTAACTTAACCAGAAGCCAGACCAACACAACACAGTTATAACATTCAGAACATTTAAGAGGTTTAGCTTCAATATGATAAAATCAGTCTTTGAGAATCTGAATATATTTCAAATATTGAACTTGTTGATGTGCCTCTCTCAGGGGTAAAATGTATCCGTCACTACGACGGATTTCTGTCATATACAGTGCCTTCGGAAAGTATTCAGACCCCTTGACTTTTTCCACATTTTGTTACATTACAGACTTATTCTAAAATGGGTTAAATTGTTTTTTTCCCCTCATCAATCTACACACAATACCCCATAATGACAAAGTAAAAACCAGTTTTTAGATTTTTGTGCAAATTAAATAAAAATAAAAAACGGAAATATTACATTTACATAAGTATTCAGACCCTTTACTCAGTACTTTGTTGAAAGCACCTTTGGCAGTGATTACAGCCTTGAGTCTTCTTGGGTATGACACTACAAGCTTGGCCTGTATTTGGGGAGTTTCTCCCATTCTTCTCTGCAGATCCTCTCAAGCTCTGTCAAGTTAGATGGGGAGTGTCGCTTGGAGATGACATAGTCTGTCTGTTCTATGAAATATTCCCAATATATTATAAATGTATTCTCTATTATGCTGTGTACACTGAACTGACATGCATGATTGTTGCTGACACTGATGTTCAGAAGAATATAGGGGTATATAGGGGATGTCAAGTATTCCCTCGTGGACCCCAGAGGCTTCACTGGAACCAGGGTCATAAGGACAGTTGGAACTTAACCCAGGTCAGTGTGCTCATCCTGCTCAGTTCCCATGGAAACCTCTGGTCATGACTCCGCTGAGGTGCCCCCTGCCTCCTGCTCCACATGGTCATCTGGCGTCTTTATTGAACGACATTGAGTCCACTTTTCTCTTTTTCTCCTCACTCATTATTAATGTCAACGTTTTCAAGCATTGACTGTCTGAACGTAGATTCGAATTGAGAGCGGGAGCACAGTGACTGTCTGAATGTAGCTACTAGGTTACAGTGTCATCTATCAGAGTGTGTTTATATAGCATGGAAGAAGTCATTTTTAGGCCCAAAAACACGCAACTCAGATATGACATTTATATATTTAAAAAATGGCTTACGGGCCATACTTTTCCCCCCTCTGCCTTAAAGCATGATGGTCATTACTTCTTTTTACATTAAATGGTAGGCTACCTCTTCAGACAATCGATCTGAGATCAACTTGAGTTTCAGTCATGGGATTTTGTTGTTGTTGCTTTCAACCCCTGGCCTCTCTGTTCTCCAGCAAACAGAGGGAGACATGGTGGTCACAGCCTTTCCAGGCCCACACCTGCATCAAACCCTGTGAGTAACAACACTCCACTAACCCTAACTAACTACCACTACACTAACCTCTTAGACTGTCTGTATCCAGTACCAGATCAATGTGCAAGGGGTACAAGGTATACTATGTAGTATGTATATGTAGAGTGTGTATGGGTGTGTCTGTGCCTGTGTGTGTCTCTTCAAAGTCCAAGGTATACTATATAGTATCACCTACACTATAGACTCTGTTGCCCACAAGTCTATCTGTATTTATTATGGATCCCCATTAGTTCCTGCCAAGGCAGTAGCTACTCTTCCTGGGGTTTATGATGGATCCCCATTAGTTCCTGCCAAGGCAGCAGCTACTCTTCCTGGGGTTTATTATGGATCCCCATTAGTTCCTGCCAAGGCAGCAGCTACTCTTCCTGGGGTTTATTATGGATCCCCATTAGTTCCTGCCAAGGCAGCAGCTACTCTTCCTGGGGTTTATTATGGATCCCCATTAGTTCCTGCCAAGGCAGCAGCTACTCTTCCTGGGGTCCAGCAACATTAAGGCAGTTATATACAATTAAAAATATTACATGACATTATAATTTCATAACACTTTTCACAACACGTTAAGTGTGTTCCCTCAGGCCCCTACTCTACTACCACATAGGTAAAACACAAAATCCATATGTACGTGTGTGTATAGTGTGTGTGCGTGTGTAGAGTGTGTGTGTGTGTGTATATTGTGTGTGTGTGTAGAGTGTGTCTGTACCTGTGTGTGTCTCTTCAAAGTCCCCGCTGTTCCATAAGGTGTATTTTTATCTGTTTTAAAAAAAAAATCTGATTCTACTGCTTGCATCAGTTACCTGATGTGGAATAGAGTTCCATGTAGTCATGGCTCTATGTAGTACTGTGCGCCTCCCGTAGTCTGTTCTGGACTTGGGGACTGTGAAGAGACCTCTGGTGGCATGTCTTGAGGGGTATGCATGTGTCTGAGTTGTGTACTAGTAGTTTTAAACAGACAGATCGGTGCATTCAACATGTCAATACTTCTTACAAAACAAGTAGTGATGAAGTCAATCTCTCCTCTACTTTGAGCCAGGAGAGACTGACATACATAGCATGAATGTTAGCTCTCCGTGTACTTTTAAGGGCCAGCCGTGCTGCCCTGTTCTGAGCCAATTGTAATTTTCCTAAGTCCCTCTTTGTGGCACCTGATCACACGACTGAACAGTAGTCCAGGTGTGACAAAACTCGAGTCTGAATGACCGGCCTTGTTGATAGTGCTGTTAAGAAGGCAGAACAGCGCTTTATTATGGACAGACTTCTCCCCAGCTTAGCTACTGTTGTATCAACATGTTTGAGTTTAGTCACCTCAACTTGCATTGCAAGATTCAGTTGAGGTTTAGGGTTTAGTGAATGATTCATCCCAAATACAATGCTTTTAGTTTTTTTAATATTTAGGACTAACTTATTTCTTGCCACCCATTCTGAAACAGACTACAGCTCTTTGTTAAGTGTCGCAGTGATTTTTCACTCGCTGTAGTAGCTGATGTGTATAGTGTTGAGTCATTCGCATACATTGACATACTGTCAATAGTAAAGATTGAAAAAAGTAAGGGGCCTAGACAGCTGCCCTGGGGAATGCCTGATTCTACCTGGATTATGTTTGAGAGGCTTCCATTAAAGAAACCCTCTGTGTTTTGTTAGACAGGTAACTCTTTATCCACAATATAGCAGGGGGTGTGAAGCCATAACACATACGTTTTTCCTGCACCATTCTATGATCGATAATGTAAAAAGCCACACTGAAGTCTAACAAAACAGCCCCCACAATCTTTTTATCATCAATTTCTCTCAGCCAATCATCAGTCATTTGTGTAAGTGCCGTGCATGTTGAATGTCCTTCCCTATAAGCGTGCTGAAAGTATGTTGTCAATTTGTTTACTGTAAAATAGCATTGTATCTAGTCAAACACAATTTTTTCCAAAAGTTTACTAAGGGTTGGTAACAGGCTGATTGGTCGGCTATTTGAGCCAGTAAAGGGGGCTTTACTATTCTTAGGTAGCGGAATGACTTTTGCTTCCCTCCAGGCCTGAGGGCACACACTTTCTAGTAGGCTTACATTGAAGATATGGCAAATAGGAGTGGCAATATCATCCGCTATTATCCTCAGTAATTTTCCATCCAAGTTGTCAGACCCAAGGTGGCTTGTCATTTTTTCACCTCTTCCACACTCACTTTACGGAATTCAAAATTACAATGCTTGTCTTTCATAATTTGGTCAGTTATACTTGGATGTGTAGTGGACAGAGTACCGGTTTCCAGGCCAAGATTTACAGTCTGTAATTGACAGCGGCCCCTTTCAAACCATCACAAGACCAATAAAACTGCACTCCCTTTCTCGCTTTACAACTCTGAATGGCCCTGAGAAAGTCAAGAGACCGAAACCAGTCCCTCTGCAAGTCAGTAGAACGCCTGGTGATCTGCATCCCAAGGAGAGAGTCCGGAATTGTTACTCTTTGTAAGAAAGAGAAAATAGCGCCAAGAGTGAAAAAGGACATTTAAACACGTTTTCTTATCAAAGTATTAAACTGTTCGACTCATTACATTACACTCTGCTCACTCACAATGAACCGCTGAGTCTGATCTCTCCCAAAACCGCTGAGTCTTATCCCTCCCAAAACCCGAACATTGTTTTGCACCCCAGTGCCTTAACAAACATTATCTCTTTGCGCTGAACAAATTGAGAACTCAACTTAGAAAGCGCAAAGAGCTTCTATGCATGCGAGCCCCGACGAGGGAAGAAGCTTCTTCGAGCAAAAGCTCAAACGACGACAACACCACTGACCCGTTTCCCTCCACTGTATATATATTTTCTGTTGTATTTCTGACTTTATGTTTTTTTTTTTACCCCATATGTAACTCTGTGTTGTTTTTATTGCACTACTTTGCTTTATCTTGGCCAGGTCGCAGTTGTAAATGAGAACCTGTTCTCAACTGGCTTACCTGGTTAAATAAAGGTGAAATAAAAAAATTAAAAAAGTTTCCCTCCGTCATAACAGAAACCCAACTGCACCAGACAACACTCAGCAAAAAATCCATGTAAATACATAATTTCATTGAATTTCCCTTTACGTGACGCTGTGTCTGTATAAAAGTGGTGTCAGTAACTGATTATTATATGACTGTTAGTCTTAATTACATATTAGTCCGCCTGTAGGGCGGCAGGTAGCTTAGTGGTTAAGAGCTTTGTGTCAGTAACCGAAAAGTCGCTGGTTCTAATCCCCTGGCCGACTAGGTGAAAAATCTGTCAATGTACCCTTGAGCGAGGTACTTAACCCTAATTGCTCATGTAAGTCGCTCTGGATAAGAGCGTCTGTAAAATGTAAATGTAATATCATTCGGATGTGAATTGATAGTCTAGCCCAACTGGCAATTCCTGGTTGTTGAAACTATAATTATAATGATATAATTTCCCAGTTGTGAAAGCAGATCTTGGTGGAGTCTCTCATATTTTCTCTCTCAACTGATAAGACCATCTCGTTACTATTGTATCTGATAACTACCTCATTTTTCACCTTATTTAGTCTAGTAAATAAAACCTTAAATTAATTATTTGTGGCCATGGGTTAATTTACAAGCGATTGGGTTCTTGAAGTTTCCGAGCTCGACGACAGTTCAGAATGAGAATATGGTAAATTGACTGTTAAGACTATGGTTGATATTGGATTGGTATAATGGTTAATGATAACTACTGATAGAGTTAATTCAAGGGTTCTCTCTATATCAACACCCTTAACGGTGCCCCTCTTCAGTTAATCTGGAAAGGATATATTCCAGTAATGAATCAGTAAATGATCTTGAATATCCATAGCTAAAGTCACAACATAGTTTTTTACATTGGATAAAAGTTGAGACTCGGAGCTAAAAAATTGTATATCATACACTACAGTTGAGGAATAATGGGAAAGTAATTCTGCTTTGAAAGTTGATAAACTTGCAACACAACTTTTGAGAAAATGGCCCTTGAATGTTTTGGTACACCTACTGGAGAGCTCTTCTTTGTCTACACCCATTCAGCATCGTTCACACCCTCTTAAGCCTTAGCCCCACCCATCTCTTTAAGGATTCACATGTGAGGCCATGTGGTAAACACACACTACATCAAATAAAATCTAAGTTTATTTGTCACATGCACAGGATACAGAAGGTGGAAACGGTACAGTGAAGTGGTTACTTGCAATATAAAAAACAGAAAGTGTCCAAATATTTTATCATTATTAGATGATGCTTACCTGACACACTTGTCTAAATTGATGGGTCATGTGAAATAAATGCTATAACCACCCACCAGTCACATCTAGCTGAGTGGATGGGTCACTATTGACTAGACATGTTCATGAAATACAATAGATTTACATTTACATATTAGTCATTTAGCAGATGCTCTCTTATCCAGAGCGACTTACAGTTAGTGAGTGCATACACTTTTTTCATAGTTAGATGGCTGTAATCACCCCCAGACACACTTAGCTAATTTGATGGGTCATGTAATAATCCGGCCGAAGTGGAGTCTTTTTTGTTTAGACATGTAGCTAGCTAGGTAGCTAGCTAGCTAAACAATGAACTGGCATAATCCCAACTCATAAATCTACCGATACAAACATTGCCATAGCTGTAGTATGAATCTGCAGGTAGCTTAAGCTAACAAACTAGGTTCAATGTTAACTAGCTAACATTAGGCTATAACTAGCAATGCAAATGATTTTCTGATTCAAATAATATCACTACACAGATCATACACGTAACGTTAGCTAGCAGGCCAGCAAGCTATATGTTCAGTGCATTCGGAAAGTATTCAGACCTCTTGACTTTTTCCACATTTTGTTACGTTACAGCCTTATTCTGAAAATGATTAAATTGTTTTTTCCCCTCATCAATCGACACACAATACCCCATAATGACGAAGCAAAAGCAGGTTTTTAACATTGTTAACAAATAAAATTGAAAAATGAAATATCACATTTACATAAGTATTCAGACCCTTTACTCAGTACTTTGTTAAAGCACCTTTGGCAGCGATTACAGCCTTGAGTCTTCTTGGGTATGGCGCTACAAGCTTGGCACACCTGTATTTGGGGAGTTTCTCCCATTCTTCTCTGAAGATCCTCTTTAGCTCTGTCAGGTTGGATGGGGAGTGTCGCAGCACACCTATTTTCAGGTCTCTCCAGAGATGTTAAATCGGATTCAAGTCCGGGCTCTGGCTGGGCCACTCAAGGACATTCAGAGACTTACATTTACATTTTAGTCATTTAGCAGACGCTCTTATCCAGAGCGACTTACATGAGCAATTAGGGTTAAGTGCCTTGCTTAAGGGCACAGACAGATTTTCCACCTAGTCGGCTCGGGGATTAGAACCAGCGATCTTTCGCTTACTGGCACAACGCTCTTACCCACTAAGATACCTGCCGCCCTTCGGCGGTGTCCCGAAGCCACTCCTGCGTTGTCTTGGCTGTGTGCTTAGGGTCGTTGTCCTAATGGAAGGTGAACCTTCGCCCCAGTCTGAGGTCCTGAGCACTCTGGAGCAGGTTTTCATCAACGATCTCTCTGTACTTTGCTCCGTTCATCTTTCCCTCGATCCTGACTAGTCTCCCAGTCCCTGCCACTGAAATACATCCCCACAGCATGATGCTGCCACCACCACGCTTCACCGTAGGGATGGTGCCAGGTTTCCTCCAGACGTGACGCTTGGCATTCAGGTCAAAGAGTTCAATCTTGGTTTCATCAGACCAGAGAATCTTGTTTCTCATGGTCTGAGAGTCTTTAGTTGCCTCTTGGCAAACTCCAAACTCCAAGCGGGCTGTCAGTTGCCTTTTACTGAGGAGTGGCTTCCGTCTGGTCACTCTACCATAAATGCCTGCTTCGTGGAGTACTGCAGAGATAGTTGTTCTTCTGGAAGGTTCTCCCATCTCCCCAGAGGAACTCTAGAGCTCTGTCAGAGTGACCATCGGTTTCTTGGTCACCTCCCTGACCAAGGCCCTTCTCCCCCAATTGCTCAGTTTGGCCGGGCGGCCAGCTGTAGGAAGAGTCTTGGTGGTTCCAAACTTCTTCCATTTAAGAATGATGGAGGCCACTGTGTTCTTGGGGACCTTCAATGCTGCAGAAATATTTTGGTACCCTTCCCCAGATCTGTGCCTCAACACAATCCTGTCTCTGCGCTCTACAGACAATTCCTTCGACCTCATGGCTTGGTTTTTGCTCTGACATACACTGTCAACTGTGGGACCTTTTATATAGACAGGTGTGTGCCTTTCCAAATCATGTCCAATCAATTGAATTTACCACAGGTGGACTCCAATCAAGTTGTAGAAACATCTCAAGGATGATCAATGGAAACAGGATGCACCTGAGCTCAACTTCGAGTCGCATAGCAAAGTGTCTGAATACTTGTGTAAATAAGGTATTTCTGTTTTAGTTTTTTATACATTTGCAAACATTTTCAAAAAACCTGTTTTCGCTTTATCATTATGTGGTATTGTGTGTAGATTGCTGAGGAAATGTTTTTATTTAATCCATTTTAGAATAAGGCTGTAACGTAACAAAATGTGGAAAAAGTAAAGGTGTCTGAAATCTATAGCTCCATTGAGCTATAAAACAACGGTATTGCCTCCACCATGAGGTCTGAAAATGTATAATGAGCTCACTTTGTGTTGGTAAAGGAATAGCGCCTTGGCATATTTTTCCTGTTCTCATATTCTGAGATTTCTCAGCCTAAATAATTAGCCAGAGGGCTAATTCAAAGAAAGAGACACACTAAGGTATACCCTTAGTGTCACGCGAAACATGTAATCCCCTGTGTAAATTCACTGTTAAGACTATTGTTGATATAGGATTGGTATTAAGGTTAATGATAACTACTGATAAAGCTAATTCAATGGTTCTCTCCAGATCAAAACCTTTAATGGTGCCCCTCTTCGGTTAATTTGGAAAGGATAAAAAAATGTATTAGAGTAATTAGATCAAATAATTATTCTAGTAATTGTTCAGGAAATTATCTAGCCGAAGTCACAACAATCTATAGTTTTATTTTTGGACAAGACGCATAGTTTGTAAAAGAAGCTCCACAGTCAGTCAAGCTTCAGCCCTTCGCGTGTTTGGTGTTTCAGCCCTTAACATGAGTTTTGTTTCCTTTTGCCTTCTCTGCTGACCCTAAGTGAACGTGGTTGGTGATGGTACGTATATATATATACACACATATACATTGGGAGGGGAAATAACAAAGTAGCAGAACTTGGATTTGTCTTGATCTTGACAGTATTTCTGTTTGACCATCTGTTTTCTCTTCCAGAGGACGACGTTAAGACCAACGATGAGAAGGGAGTCATAGCAGGTCATTTTTACATTTACATTTTAGTCATTTAGCAGACGCTCTTATCCAGAGCGACTTACAGTTAGTGCATACATTCTTTTTTATTTTTCATACTGCCCCCCCCCCCGTGGGAATCGAACCCACAACCCTGGCGTTGCAAACGCCATGCTCTACCAACTGAGCTAATCTGAGCTAATCACATTCCGTTTGATATCACGTTTATAATAAGCATATCTATTGTATACTAACTACTATCGATACATAATAACAGGCAGTGAATTAACACTTTTTTTTATCTTTCTATAGCTGAAGAAGATTTTGAATCTGGTAGGTAAGTCTTTATAGAGTCATGGTATAGAAATTGATAGATTCTGTAAATGTTTTGAAAGGCACTAATGTAATACTGCAAAAAATGTGGCAAAGCAATTAACTTTTTGTCCTGAAAACAAAGTGTTATGTTTGTTATCGTTAAGGGTTGGGGAGTGTATCAGGATTTAAAAAAAAACAGAATAGAGCTAAGCACAGGCAGAATCCTAGAGAAAAACCTGGTTCAGTCTGCTTTCCAGCAGACACTGGGGAGATGAATTAACCTTTCAGCAGAACAACAACATAAAAACACTGGAGATGCTTACTAAGAAGACAGTGAATGTTTCTGAGTTTCCGAATTATAGATTTGACTTAAATCTACTTCAAAAATCTGTGGCAAGACCTGAAAATGGTTGTCTAGCAATGATCAACAACCAATTTGACAGAGCGTGAAGAATTTGGAAAATAATGCAATGTTGCACAATCCAGGTGTGGAAAGCTTAGAGACTTACCCAGAAAGACTCACAGCTGTAATCGCTGCAAAAGGTGCTACAAATATTTGACTCAGCGGTGTGAATACCTATGCAAATTAGATATTTCTGTATTTTCATTTTCAATAAATGTGTAGAAAATGGGTGTAGATGGGTGGGGAAAAAATAATATTTTTTTCAATTTTGAATTCAGGCTGTAACACAACAAAATGTGGAATAAGTCAAGGGGTGATAAATACTTTCTGAAGCACAATATCAAATAATATTGTAATGAATTTTCCCAGTGTATTCCGAAGAGGCTGAGGAAGGAACTCATATGATGGATGGCGTCTACATCTGTAAGCTGTTTTTGATTGACAATTTGATTGACACTTTTAATCAATAATTGTTATTTTTGTAAGATGATGCCACACCATAGATTTACAGCTTTTGTTGTTGTTGTTGTTGTTGATGTTAATTTAGTTGTTGTTTTTGTTGTTGATGTTTCCAGCGGGGTTCCGGTGTAGCTTCCGTCTGTGGCGGAGGATGACGTCGTGCTCTCCCAACAGCTGGGCTCTGTCCAGCCCCTACGAAGAGGTGGTCAGCTACCAGAGACAGCCTGACGACCCACACAGACTGGTCATCCTCGTAGGTGACGAGCTCACTGCTTATATATCGTTCATATTCTGTATCAGAGGAAAGAATGATGATAATAAAATATTGGTTTCTTGTCCAGAAATGAGCCCTTCCTAACCCCTTTCTGAGACAGCACTACACACACACAGCTTATAGGTTTGGAGTATCACATCTGCTGTAGTGTGTAGTGGTGTGTAGTGGTGTGTAACGCGTTGTGTTGTTTCTTCAGGTCCGTCTGGTGTAGGAGTGAATGAGCTGAGGAAAAGACTGATCAAACTCAACCCACACACCTTCCAGGGAAACGTGCCTCGTAAGTTCATACTCCATCTATAGTGTCTAGTATCATACGTTCTATTCCCTTAAAGTGCCCTTTTGTAGTTGGACGGAAATTATCCAACTGATGTGTAGAAATGATAATAATAAACTACATTTATCAATCTGACTCCATTATTATGTAAATAAGTGCAAAACAGGCGTCTCTAGAGGGTCTAGTCAAGGCCTTACAGCACCACCTAGCATGACTATAACTTGTCTAACTTGCACCGTTATGCAATTATTAAAAGGTACGCTATGCAGGAATTGCTCCGCCATTTCCTGGTTAATACAATTCTATAACTCGCATTTCTATGTGAATTTTGTTCTGGGTCACCCAAAAAGTTACATATTGCAGCCACTCCCGTTGCTGACAGGTGTATAAAATCGAGCACACCGCCATGCAATCTCCATAGACAAACATTGGCGGTAGAATGGCCTTACTGAAGAGCTCAAAGACTTTCAACGTGGCACCGTCATAGGATGCCACCTTTACAACAAGTCAGTTGGTCAAATTTCTGCCCTGCTAGAGCTGCCCCGGTCAACTGTAAGTGCTGTTATTGTGAAGTGGAAACGTCTAGGAGCAACAACTGCTCAGCCGCAAAGTGGTAGGCCACACAAGCTCACAGAATCGTCTGTCCTCGGTTGCAACGCTCACTACCGAGTTCCAAACTGCCTCTGGAAGTAACGTCAGCACAGGAACTGTTCGTAGGGAGCTTCACAAGCCTAAGATCACCATACGCAATGCCAAGCATCGGCTGGAGTGGTGTAAAGATCGCCACCATTGGACTCTGGAGCAGTGGAAACGCGTTCTCTGGAGTGATGAATCACGCTTCACCATCTGGCAGTCCCACGGACAAATTTCGGTTTGGCGGAAACAAGGAGAACGCTACCTTCCCAAATGCATAGTGCCAACTGTAAAGTTTGGTGGAGGAGGAATAATGGTCTGGGGCTGATTTTTCATGGTTCCGGGCTAGGCTTCTTAGTTCCAGTGAAGGGAAATCTTAACATTACAGCATACAGTACAATTACATTCTAGACGATTCTGTGCTTCCAACAGTTTGGAAAAGGCCCTTTCCTGTTTCAACGTGACAATGCCCCCGTGCACAAAGCGAGGTCCATACAGAAATGCTCTGTCGAGATCGGTGTGGAAGAACTTGACTGGCCTGCACAGAGCCCTGACCTCAACCCCATCGAACACCTTTGGGATGAATTGGAATGCCAACATTTACATAAGGCCTAATTGCCCAACATCAGTGCTCAACCTCACTAATGCTCTTGTGGCTGAATGGAAGCAAGTCCCCGCAGCAATGTTCCAACATCTAGTGGAAAGCCTTCCCAGAAGAGTGGAGGCTGTTATGGCAGCAAAGGGGGGACCAACTCCATATTAATGTCCATGATGTTGGAATGAGATGTTCGACGAGCAGGTGTCCACATACTTTTGGTTATGTATCTCTGTACTGTATGTCTCCTCTGTCTCCTCTGTCTCCTCTATGTCTCCTCTATGTCTCCTCTCCCCTCCATGGCCTTTTATCTTGTCACATAACAGGATTTACGTTCTGTTCTGACTGATGGTATTATGTTGTTTTAGTGGTTGTCCTCTGTGGTGGATGTTGTGATGTGACGGGATACAGGTTGGTTGTAATTCTGTGTTGATGGGTTGTCTTACATCGTCCTCAGACACAACGCGACCAGCCAGAGATGGAGAGGAGACTGGAAGAGAATATCATTTTGTCACCAAAGAGCTGTTTGAGTACATGGTGTGCAACCACAGGTAATGCTAGTGATTTGTTTTATTTTTGTTTTATTATTTGTTTTAATAATTGCTAGTAGCCTAGCTGTTAGACTGTGCTTAGGGTTGTTGTCCTGTTGGAAGGTGAATCTTCCCCCAGAGCTCCTGAGTGCTCTGGAGCAGGTTTTCATCAAGGATCTCTCTGTACTTTGCTCCGTTAATCTTTCCCTCGATCCTGACTAGTCTCCCAGTCCCTGCCACTGAAAAACATCCCCACAGCATGATGCTGCCACCACCATGCTTCACCGTAGGGATGGTGCCAGGTTTCCTCCAGACGTGACGCTTGGCATTCAGGCCAAAGAGTTCAATCTTGTTTCATCATACCAGATAATATTTTTTCTCATGGTCTGAGAGTACTTTAGGCCTGATTGGTGGAGTGCTGCAGAGAGGATTATCCTTCTGGAAGGTTCTCCCATCTCCACAGAGGAACTCTAGAGCTCTGTCAGAGTGACCATCCGGTTCTTGGTCACCTCTCTGACCAAGGCCCTTCTCCCCCGATTGCTCAGTTTGGCCGGGCGGCCAGCTCTAGGAATAGTCTTGGTGGTTCCAAACTTCTTCCATTTAAGAATGATGGAGGCCACTGTGTTCTTGGGGACCTTCAAAGCTGCAGAAATGTTTTGGTACCCTTCCCCAGATCTGTGCCTCGACACAATCCTGTCTCGGCGCTCTACGGACAATTCCTCACGATCTCATGGCTTGGTTTTTGTTCTGACATGCACTGTCAACTGTGGGACCTTATATTTATATATATATATATATATAAGGTGTGTGCCTTTCCAAATCACGTCCAATCAATTGAATTTACCATAGGGGTCCAATCAAGTTGTAGAACTATCTCAAGGATGATCAATGGAAACAGGATGCACCTGAGCTCAATTTCGAATCTCATAGCAAAGGGTCTGAATATACTTATGTAAATACGTTTACTTATGTAAATAAGGTATTTCTGTTTGTAATTTTTTAATACATTTGCGAAAATGTCTCTACCTGTTTTCGCTTTGTCACTATGGGGTAGTGTGTGTAGATTGAGGATTTCTTTTTATTCAATCCCATTTTAGAATAAGGCTGTAACGTAACAAAATGTGGAAAAAGTCAAGGCGTCTGAATACTTTCCGAATGCGCTGCGTATTATTAATTTAACCAGGAAAATACCCTTTAGAGTTAAACTTTCTTGGCTCTTTTTTTCGTTTCAGAATCCAGTAAGAGATGAAACAGAGTACAACGGGGATTTGATATGTTCATTGTTGTAATATAAGTGGTTGTAATATAGTTGTAATCAATCGATTTTGATAATGTATCTTTGGGTCTGTCCTAGGTTCCTTGAGCATGGTGAATATAAAGGCCATCTGTATGGGGCCAGTATCGATGCCGTCAGAGACGTGATAGACAGTGGAAGGATGTGTGTTATTGACATTCAGCCACATGTAAGTTATATTCCTATACTCCTGTATCTATGGGAAGGTTTTTTTACACCACAGATATCACAGCAGGAAAAATTATTAATTGTGGAACACTTAACCTTTTTATAATGGGTTGGTAAAAGAGTTTAAAATTAAGTTGTTAATATATACTGTAACTGCCATTTATTAATTTATTTTATACCATATGTTTGTATGTATTTGTATGTTTCAGAGTATCCTGTCTGTGAGGAATAAGACGTTCAAGCCTTATGTCATCTTTATAAAGCCTCCCAGTAAAGAACGACTGAGAGAGACACGGAGGGAGGCACGCATTTTCACCAGCCATGTCGTCAACAGACCTTTTAAAGTGAGATCTCCTTACATGAATGTGTTGTCACTGGTCAAGCCATCCTTTTTTGGATGTAGATAATTAGGGTTGTAAAGATTCACTGATACGCCTCGGTCCCGATTCAAATGTTTAAGATAGTACGTTACAAATCGCCGGTTCACTAAAATGTGTTGCTCATATTACTCATCATTCTACCATTTCTGAAAATCATCTTTTGTGTAAAACTGATGCGTCCTTCAGTGTCGAACTGCACGTAACTGTATTGACATCCATTGATCTACAAGTCATGTTGCATTGCCGAACAAACCCAGGCAATATCAGTAGCCTAGTCAAACTACTCGCTGTGCCCAGCTTCGCCCGCTGACCAACATGAGGTAGGCGGCCTTGAGATGCTCTAATGGTCTTGCGTGATATTAGGCTTTTATTAGTTGAGTGATGTCATAGTGATGTCATGCCTGAACGGGGTATTACAATAGATTTTATTTTGATTGCTCGGGTTCACCATCTGCAATAGTTTTTAATAGTTTTACTTTAAACAATCCGTGTATATTGGTCATTTTTAGATATACAGGGTAAAGTTAATCATGTCTCCCTAATGGCTCTAATCTGATAGTGGTAGTGGGGTGGTACAGACAGACAGACAGCTCAGACAGACAGACAGACAGCTCAGACAGACAGACAGACAGCTCAGACAGACAGACAGACAGACAGCTCAGACAGACAGTCAGCTCAGACAGACAGTCAGCTCAGACAGACAGTCAGCTCAGACAGACAGACAGACAGACAGACAGACAGACAGACAGACAGACAGACAGACAGACAGACAGTCAGCTCAGACAGACAGACAGACAGTCAGCTCAGACAGTCAGCTCAGACAGACAGACAGACAGACAGACAGCTCAGACAGACAGCTCAGACAGACAGACAGTCAGCTCAGACAGACAGTCAGCTCAGACAGACAGTCAGCTCAGACAGACAGTCAGCTCAGACAGACAGTCAGCTCAGACAGACAGACAGTCAGCTCAGACAGACAGACAGACAGACAGACAGACAGACAGACAGACAGACAGTCAGCTCAGACAGACAGACAGACAGACAGACAGTCAGCTCAGACAGACAGACAGACAGACAGTCAGCTCAGACAGACAGACAGACAGACAGACAGACAGACAGACAGACAGACAGACAGTCAGCTCAGACAGACAGACAGTCAGCTCAGACAGACAGACAGACAGACAGTCAGCTCAGACAGACAGACAGACAGTCAGCTCAGACAGACAGACAGACAGACAGACAGTCAGCTCAGACAGACAGACAGTCAGACAGCTCAGACAGACAGTCAGCTCAGACAGACAGACAGACAGACAGTCAGCTCAGACAGACAGACAGACAGTCAGCTCAGACAGACAGACAGACAGTCAGCTCAGACAGACAGTCAGCTCAGACAGACAGTCAGCTCAGACAGACAGACAGACAGCTCAGACAGACAGCTCAGACAGACAGCTCAGACAGACAGACAGTCAGCTCAGACAGACAGTCAGCTCAGACAGACAGGCAGCTCAGACAGACAGACAGACAGTCAGCTCAGACAGACAGACAGACAGTCAGCTCAGACAGACAGACAGACAGACAGACAGACAGACAGTCAGCTCAGACAGACAGACAGTCAGCTCAGACAGACAGACAGACAGTCAGCACAGACAGACAGACAGACAGTCAGCTCAGACAGACAGACAGCTCAGACAGACAGTCAGCTCAGACAGACAGACAGTCAGCTCAGACAGACAGACAGACAGTCATCTCAGACAGACAGACAGACAGTCAGCTCAGACAGACAGACAGTCAGCTCAGACAGACAGACAGACAGTCAGCTCAGACAGACAGACAGACAGACAGTCAGCTCAGACAGACAGACAGACAGTCAGCTCAGACAGACAGACAGACAGTCAGCTCAGAGAGGCCCAGTTTATGAGCTCAATCAGCAGCAGATTTTAATTTAGAACGGAAAATGAATGTGTTTAAGCAACAAATATTAGTGCATCGAATCGTATCGCGTCGAACCGATTCGTTCTCTAATCAAACCAAATCGCATCGTATCATTCCTGTATCGTATCGGAGCACATGTATCTAGATGCGTATCGAATCGTCTTGAAAGGTAATGATGCACATCCCTATTGATAAATGTTTACATTTCATTTCTACACTGAGTGTACAAAACATTAAGGACCCCTGCTCTTTCAATGACACACTCAATATTAGGAAGGTTTTCTGAATGATTTGTACACTCAGTGTATATATTTGATGTAAATAATTATGTTAATGCATTCAAATATACTATACTATACTATACTATACTATACTATACTATACTATACTAACCCGCCTCCTCATATTCTGTCTTGGATAATCAAACTAGTCAGACGCGCTTGAGTTCCTCTGTTTTCTAAGGCTCCTCCTCCCCTCCCTGAAGCCCCTCCTTCTCTCATCCCCCCACCCAGGATGTTGACTTTGAGAAGATGGAGGATGCTGCCAGGTTCATGGAGGAGAAGTATGGTCAGTTCTTCGACAGTGTCATAGTCAACGAGGGGCTGCAGGACGCCTGTATTCAGCTGTTTAATACCATACAGCTGGCTCAGGAGGGACCACAGTGGATACCTGCCACATGGCTCTGTACTGACGACTAGAGAAAGGAGAGAGGAGGGGAGAAGAGGAGAGGAGGGGGGAGAGAGGAGGGCAGGAGAGGAGGGGAGAGGAGAAGGGTGGAGGAGAGGAGAGGAGAGGAGGAGGGAGGAGGGGAGAGGAGAAGGGTGGAGGGGAGAGGGGAGAGGAGGAGGGTGGAGGAGAGGAGGGGAGGGGAGGAGAGGAGAGGAGGTGGAGGAGAGGAGAGGAGGGGAGAGGTGGAGGGCAGGGGTGGAGGGCAGGAGAGGAGGGGAGGGGAGAGGAGGAGGAGGGTGGAGGGCAGGAGAGGAGGGGAGAGGAGGAGGGTGGAGGAGAGGAGAAAGGGGAGAGGAGGAGTGTGGAGGAGCGGAGGGGAGAGGAGGAGGGTGGAGGGCAGGAGAGGAGGGGAGAGGAGGAGGGTGGAGGGCAGGAGAGGAGGGGAGAGGTGGAGGGCAGGAGAAAGGGGAGAGGAGGAGGGTGGAGGAGAGGAGAAAGGGGAGAGGAGGAGGGTGGAGGGCAGGAGAGGAGGGGAGAGGAGGAGGGCAGGAGAGGAGAGGAGAGGAGAGGAGAGGAGAGGAGAGGAGAGGAGAGGAGAGGAGAGGAGAGGAGTATAAAGTAGAGTCCAGTATAGTTAGACGGTGCCTTTATGTACTGTATATTTGTATTGTACCTCAGATGTATGTGACAATAAAACATACAGTTGAAGTCGGAAGTTTACATACACTTAGGTTGGAGTCATTAAAACTAGTTTTTCAACCACTCAACTATAGTTTTGGCAAGTCGGTTAGGACATCTACTTTGTGCATGACACAAGTAATTTTTCCAACAATTGTTTACAGACAGATTATTTCACTTATAATTCACTGTATCACAATTCCAGTGGGTCAGAAGTTTACATACATTAAGTTGACTGTGCCTTTAAACAGCTTGGAAAATTCCAGAAAATGATGTCATGGCTTTAGAAGCTTCTGATACGCTAATTGACATCATTTGAGTCAATTGGAGGTGTACCTGTGGATGTATTTCAAGGCCTACCTTCAAACTCAGTGCCTCTTTGCTTGACATCATGGGAAAATCAAAATAAATCAGCCAAGACCTCAGAAATAAATTTGTAGACCTCCACAGGTCTGGTTCATCCTTGGGAGCAATTTCAAAACGCCTGAAGGTACCATGTTCATCTGTACAAACAATAGTACGCAAGTATAAACACCATGGGACCACGCAGCCGTCATACCGCTCAGGAAGGAGACACGTTCTGTCTCCTAGAGATGAACGAAAAGTGCAAATCAATCCCAGAACAACAGCAAAGGACCTTGTGAAGATGCTGGAGGAAACAGGTACAAAAGTATCTATATCCACAGTAAAACAAGTCCTATATCGACATAACCTGAAAGGCCGCTCAAAAAGGAAGAAGCCACTTCTCCAAAACCGCCATAAAAAAGACAGACTACGGTTTGCAACTGCACATGGGGACAAAGATCGTACTTTTTGGAGAAATATCCTCTGGTCTGATGAAACAAAAATAGAACTGTTTGGCCATAATGACCATCGTTATGTTTGGAGGAAAAAGGGGAATGCTTGCAAGCCGAAGAACACCATCCCAACTGTGAACCACGGGGGTGGCAGCATCATGCTGTGGGGGTGCTTTGCTGCAGGAGGGACTTGTGCACTTCACAAAATAGATGGCATCATGAGGAAGGAAAATTATGTGGATATATTGAAGCAACATCTCAAGACATCAGTCAGGAAGTTAAAGCTTGGTCGCAAATGGGTCTTCCAAATGGACAATGACCCCAAGCATACTTCCAAAGTTGTGGCAAAATGGCTTAAGGACAACAAAGTCAAGGTATTGGAGTGGCCATCACAAAGCCCTGACCTCAATCCTATATAACATTTGTGGGCAGAACTGAAAAAGCGTGTGCGAGCAAGGAGGCCTACAAACCTGACTCAGTTACACCAGCTCTGTCAGGAGGAATGGGTCAAAATTCTCCCAATTTATTGTGGGAAGCTTGTGAAAGGTTACCCAAAATGTTTGACCCAAGTTAAACAATTTAAAGGCAATGCTACCAAATACTAATTGAGTGTATGTAAACTTCTGACCCACTGGGAATGAGATGAAAGAAAAAAAAAAGAAAAAAAAAAGAAAAAAAAAATCTCTCTACTATTATTCTGACATTTCACATTCTTAAAATAAAATGGTGATCCTAACTAGGCCACTACAGGACCTTAATGTGCTTCTTCTTTAACCACTCCTTTGTTGCCTTGGCCGTGTGTTTTGGGTCATTGTCATGCTGGAATACCCATCCACGACCCATTTTCAATGCCCTGGCTGAGGGAAGGAGGTTTTCACCCAAGATTTGACGGTACATGGCCCCGTCCATCGTCCCTTTGATGCGGTGAAGTTGCCCTGTCCCCTTAGCAGAAAAACACCCCCAAAGCATAATGTTTCCACCTCCATGTTTGACGGTGGGGATGGTGTTCTTGGGGTCATAGGCAGCATTCCTCCTCCTCCAAACACAGCGAGTTGAGTTGATGCCAAAGAGCTCGATTTTGGTCTCATCTGACCACAACACTTTCACCCAGTTCTCATCTGAATCATTCAGATGTTCATTTGCCAACTTCAGACGGGCCTGTATATGTGCTTTCTTGAGCAGGGGGACCTTGCGTGCCCTGCAGGATTTCAGTCCTTCACGGCGTAGTGTGTTACCAATTGTTTTCTTGGTGACTATGGTCCCAGCTGCCTTGAGATCATTGACAAGATCCTCCCGTGTAGTTCTGGGATGATTCCTCACCATTTCCATGATCATTGCAACTCCACGAGGTGAGATCTTGCATGGAGCCCCAGGCCGAGGGAGATTGACAGTTCTTTTGTGTTTCTTCCATTTGCGAATAATCGCACCAACTGTTGTCACCTTCTCACCAAGCTGCTTGGCGATGGTCTTGTAGCCCATTCCAGCCTTGTGTAGGTCTACAATCTTGTCCCTGACATCCTTGGAGAGCTCTTTGGTCTTGGCCATGGTGGAGAGTTTGGAATCTGATTGATTGATTGCTTCTGTGGACAGGTGTCTTTTATACAGGTAACAAGCTGAGATTAGGAGCACTCCCTTTAAGAGTGTGCTCCTAATCTCAGCTCGTTACCTGTATAAAAGACACCTGGGAGCCAGAAATCTTTCTGATTGAGAGGGGGTCAAATACTTATTTCCCTCATTAAAATGCAAATCAATTTATAAAATTTTTGACATGTGTTTTTTTGATTATTTTGTTATTATTCTGTCTCTCACTGTTCAAATAAACCTACCATTACAATTATAGACTGATCATGTCTTTTTCAGTGGGCAAACATACAAAATCAGCAGGGGATCAAATACTTTTTTCCCTCACTGTATTTGGCTAAGGTGTATGTAAACATCCGACTTCAACTGTGTATATATATATATATATATAGTGTATATATATTTTTTAGTACTGTTATGACATGATTGTGTTATTATGGTTGGTTTAGTTTGGAGTGAGTGCTGAGCAGAGAGGCTGTGTTGTGTTAACACTGATAGAGATATCACTTTTAACTCTGTAACCACTGAAGCAGTTTAACTCCTGGGGAACTGCTCCTCTGAATCTGTGACTGTCATGGATTCACCAGACTCAATGTGATGTATTTCTCAGGTGATGTACTGTGTATTTCAAATAAATGTTTATTGGTCGTGTACACAGATTTCTCAGGTGCAGTGAAATGCTTGTGTTTCTAGCTCCAACAGTGCAGTAATACCTAGAAATACAAAACAAAAAAATTTGAAATATCAGAACGAGCAATGTCATAATATAAATATATATAATGGTGTGTATAGACAGTATGGACAGTATACAGTGCATAAAAAAAACAGATACCTTATTTACATAAGTATTCAGACAGGTACAAAACTATTCTGCAGCATTGAAGGTCCCCAAGAACACAGTGGCCTCCATCATTCTTAAATGGAAGAAGTTTGGAACCACCAAGACTATTCCTAGAGCTGGCCACCCGGCCAAACTGAGCAATCGGGGGAGAAGGGCCTTGGTCAGGGAGGTGAACCCGATGATCACTCTGACAGAGCTAGAGAGTTCCTCTGTGGAGATGGTAGAACCTTCCAGAAGGACAACCATCTCTGCATCACTCCACCAATCAGGCCTTTATGGTAGAGTGGCCAGACGGAAGCCACTCCTCAGTAAAAGGCACATGACAGTCCGCTTGGAGTTTGCCAAAAGGCACCTAAAGGACTCTGACCATGAGAAACATGATTCTCTGGTCTGATGAAACCAAGATTGAACTCTTCGGCCTGAATGCCAAGCATCACATCTGGAAGAAACCAGGCACCATCCCTACGGTGAAGCATGGGGGTGGTAGCATCATGCTGTGGGGATGTTTTTCAGCGGCAGGGACTGGGAGACTAGTCAGGATCGAGGGAAAGCTGAACAGAGCAAAGTACAGAGAGATCGTTGATGAAAACCTGCTCCAGAGTGCTCAGGACCTCAGACTGGTGTGAAGGTTCACCTTCCAACAGGACAACGACCCTAAGCACACAGCCAAAACAACGCAGGAGTTGCTTCGGGACAAGTCTCTGGATGTCCTTGAGTGGCCAAGCCAGAGCCCGGACTTGAACCCGATCGAACATCTCTGGAGAGACCTGAAAATAGCTGTTCAGCGACGCTCCCCCGTCCATAATATACTCTGAAGGGGTGGATGGTATGCAGCTGCCTGAGTCTGACAGGGACCCCACTTCTTCTTCCTCTTCTCTGGCGTCAGTGTTTTTGCTGCAGCTCCCCGGGAGGAATAGAGCTGCCTCGGGAAGTTCAAACAAAGGATCTAGGTCAGGGGAGTTGAATCTCTGCTCGGATTTCTGGTGAGTGACCCGCCGATCTAATGTTAAGAAGTTATTTCCGGCTGTAGGTAATAATACAAGAAAAGTTCTGAGCATGTAGGCTAGGAAATCTAGAAACAAGGCGACCATGTCTGTCAGCGCCATCTTGTATCTTTTATATACTATCAGATATACGGGGATGTATCCATAATGACACCCTATTCCCTTCATTTTTTTTTATTTTTTTTATTTTTTTATTTCACCTTTATTTAACCAGGTAAGCCAGTTGAGAACAGGTTCTCATTTACAACTGCGACCTGGCCAAGACAAAGCAAAGTAGTGCAACAAAAACAACACAGAGTTACATATGGGGTAAAAAAAAAAACATAAAGTCAGAAATACAACAGAAAATATATATACAGTGTGTGCAAATGTAGCAAGTTATGGAGGTAAGGCAATAAATAGGCTATAGTGCAGAATAATTACAATAGTATTAACACTGGAATGCTAGATGTGCAAGAGATTATGTGCAAATAGAGATACTGGGGTGCAAAAGAGCAAATTAAATAACAATATAGGGATGAGGTAGTTGGGTGGGCTAATTTCAGATGGGCTGTGTACAGGTGCAGTGATCGGTAAGGTGCTCTGACAACTGATGCTTAAAGTTATTGAGGGAGATAAGAGTCTCCAGCTTCAGAGATTTTTGCAATTCGTTCCAGTCATTGGCAGCAGAGAACTGGAAGGAATGGCGGCCAAAGGAGGTGTTGGCTTTGGGA